TAACACCTCAGCAGTGCCACAGGCTGATTGCCTCCATAACACCTCAGCAGTGCCACAGGCTGATTGCCTCCATAACACCTCAGTGCCACAGGCTGATTGCCTCCATAACACCTCAGTGCCACAGACTGATTGTCTCCATAACACCTCAGCAGTGCCACAGGCTGATTGCCTCCATAACACCTCAGCAGTGCCACAGGCTGATTGTCTCCATAACACCTCAGCAGTGCCACAGGCTGATGGCCTCCATAACACCTCAGCAGTGCCACAGGCTGATTGGCTCCATAACACTTCAGCAGTGCCACAGGCTGATTGTCTCCATAACACCTCAGCAGTGCCACAGGCTGATTGGCTCCATAACACCTCAGCAGTGCCACAGACAATCAGTCTCAACACCTCAGCTGTGCCACAGGCTGATTTCCTCCATAACACCTCAGCTGTGCCACAGGCTGATTTCCTCCATAACACCTCAGTGCCACAGGCCAGGCCATGCCATGCCACGCCGTATTGAAGCTTTCATTTACACAAAAGGATTCCTGATCCTAGCCTGGCTCTGCCAGACCCTTGTAGTTCCGCCATGCTCCACCAGAGGCGTTTGGCTGAACCACATGGATCTGGTATCGAGCCCATAGCGAACGCCTTCCCCAGATTATTTTTTAATCGACCAATCAGGATTGCCGGTGTTACGTGGGGTTTGCACTGCCTTCTCAAGCTTCTCTCATGCAGCAGCGATAGGAATCCAAGATGGCGGACGTAAAGTCAGCGAATCTTTTTAAAAGAGTAAATACGATCGAATTAAGACACGGATGTCACTTTTAATGCAATTTGAGGCGAGATGTTGATGGTTCTATGTTGATGGTTCTATGTTGATGGTTCTATGTTGATGGTTCTATGTTGATATATGTGTGTTTTAAGAGTCAAATGTTCCTGTAAAGTTTGGTTGAAGCACTGGTTCAGTGTTCCTGTTTACACACTATGCAGCAGGGTTGCCAGGTTTGGTGGTTCCCGCATATTTGTTTCCAAGAGACTTGTAGGTATTAAATAAACAGAAAGACAATAAACACAATCATGACAGCCCAAGTTGATTATATTACGTTTTTAGCCAAAAAATCATTCTGAGTGTTTTTTTGTGGGTATTCTCGTGGATTTTGGGTTGGAAAATCTTGCTGGGATTTGGCAACCTATGGGAGCCGTGTGCTTCGATGTGAGTGGTTGAAAGCAGACTTCATTCAAGATAACGGACAAGTGGTCTATGCCTTCTGAAATCCAACCACTATGGCTCAGTACCAGACTCATGTGTGAAGTGCAGCTACATGGGTCTGGCCTGGCCAGAGTCAGGCTATCCTGATCCAGTATTGAGTGCATAACTGAACATCATTATTTGAAGGTTGACATTTTTTGTATTAAAAACACTTTTATTGGTCGGATGAAATATGCTAATTTTTTTAGATAGGGATTTTTTTTATTTTTTTTACTTTTTTGCCAAAATCATCAATATTAAAACAAAAAAAGGCTTGAACTCCTTCAGTTGTGTGTAATGCATCTAAAATATATGAAAGTCTACTGTTTATCAGTACATTACAGAAAATAATGAACTTTATCTCAATATGCTAATTTGTTCAGAAGGACCTGTATAAATACTGTACCATCAGTCACACAGGTACCATCAGTCACACAGGTACCATCAGTCACACAGGTACCATCAGTCACAGAGGTACCATCAGTAACACAGGTACCATCAGTCACAGAGGTACCATCAGTAACAGAGGTACCATCAGTCACACAGCTACCATCAGTCACAGAGGTACCATCAGTAACACAGGTACCATCAGTCACAGAGGTACCATCAGTCACAGAGGTACCATCAGTCACACAGCTACCATCAGTGACACAGGTACCATCAGTGACACAGGTACCATCAGTCACACAGGTACCATCAGTAACATACTGACCCCAGGGACTCCTTAAACCAGGACATGTCCAGGTCTGAAGCTACAGAGCATTGGGATGATCCAGAAGAGGATTCGGAGAATGTCACATGGTATTGGGAGAATGTCACATGGTCAGATCAAACCAAAATACAACTTTTGGTAAAAACGCGTGTTTGGAGGAGAGTTGCATCCAAAGAACACCTACTGTGAAGCATGGGGGTGGAAACATCAAGACTTTGGGGCTGTTTTTCTGCAAAGGGACCAGGACGACTGATCCGTGTAAAGGAAAGAATGTATGGGATCATGTATGGACCATGTGTGGGACCATGTATGGACCATGTGTGGGGCCATGTATGGACTATGTGTGGGGCCATGTGTGGACCATGTGTGGACCATGTATGGACCATGTGTGGACCATGTGTGGGGCCATGTATGGACTATGTGTGGGGCCATGTGTGGACCATGTGTGGACCATGTATGGACCATGTGTGGACCATGTGTGGACCATGTATGGACCATGTGTGGAACCATGTGTGGGACCATTCAGGACAATGGGCCTCATGTATGAAACTTGCGTACGGCCAAATCAGGGTGTAAATGATGCGTACGCAAAATATTTACACTTTTCCGCATTTATCAATCTGGACGTGAGCGAACGATACGCACAGAATATACGCCAGGTCTGGAGGTGGTGTAAATGTGTACGCTCATTTCAACCTTCATTACAACGCGCCAAAACATGCATGAAATGCAAGATTTGGACAAGAATAAACATATTCCCTCTGACAAGATTATAGGCACACCTCTCACATTACAAATATGCAATTTTACGGTGTTATGTTATGGCTAGTTTGTGTTATTAAATAACTTCCAAGATGTCAAACTTAGTCTCCCACAAATGTGTGGATTGTTATATGCACCTACAATCAGAGCGTAATGGCTTTGATTCATGCAGGTCCAAGTAAAGACGCCACCGTGGAGCGCTGCGCGGGTCTGATCAGGCTCTGGGACATGTAGGGGGTACGCTCTGGTACCTCCTGGTACAAGTGTGCCACATGGTCCTGGCTCTGTTCTCCACAACAGGCACAGAACCACAGTGTGCCACTGGTGGAGCAGCCCATGGATGAGAGACCATGGGTTGAGAGACCATGGCCAGCACCGCCTTCGGCCTGTACAGCTCAGACTCTCATTCAACCATTTTAAAATAATAATCACATAATTTGAAGATAATTTTATTTCTTTATATTTTCTTTTGGATGCTTTGGTCTGGCGGTCCTCCCCCTTCGCTGCTGAGCACTTCTTCTATGGGCTGCGCTAAACGCCTTTTTGTTACATTTTAAGGTCGCTCCCTTTTTTTTCACTTGTAGCATAAATTAATGAATTCTTACTATTGGCCCAATATATCAACTGTTTGATATAATACAGTGTATTTTTCTTCGAACATGAATAAACTCACCTCTTCAGGAGTGTTACCACCCCCACGCTGTTTACAGATGCTGTCATCTCTTTTTATATATTGTTTTTTGAGCCCCTTGATGCCACTTTTGAGAATTCCAAATAGTAAGACTTTATTCTTTTTCCCACTTCGTTCATAATGGTCTCAATCTCCTGCTCCGTGAAGTTATTTTTCCTTAGCCGTTTACTCACTAACCAGACCCTGCGCCGTATATGTAATCACGCATATGTTTTGCCTCATTCACCTCTGGCAAAGCAATGTGGGTTTTCCTTAGTTTTGTGCATAAAGCCCCATAAACGCAATTGATCTTGCTCAAAACTGCTCATCCACTGGCCTGTTCTCCGCAGCAGAGATAGGATGCAACGCACATGTGGGAACTGGTTCATTCATTCATTTATTATTTATTTATTTACTTCTAAATTTCAGGAGAGATGAGTGCTGCAGTGGGTCTAGACACTAGGGAAAAGTGTATATATAATAGAGCGTATATTTATATATTTTTAAACGTGAATAATCTCAGAAGTGCGTGCTTTTTGCGACTTCTTAGCCGACTTCCTGCTGACCTGTCGCAAAAACAGGGCGTGGAACAGGCAGTTTCTGAATATTTCTAGGCGTGACTTTCATAAATACGCTGGTTTTGAGCGCGGCATTTATCAACAGCCGCAGGTGCGTACGCTCATATCTGTGCCTCACACGTCAGACCTTGCGTATCTGAGATCTACACCCAAAATATACACCCTTTTCTACGCAACTTTCATACATGAGGCCCCATGTGTGGGACCTTGTATGGACCATGTTTGGGACCATGTATGGGACCATATACGGACCATGGGCCTCATGTATGAAACTTGCGTAAGGCCAAATCAGGGTGTAAATGATGCGTACGCAAAAAATGTACACTTGTCCCAGAGGACGAGGGGAAGATAACGGTCCCAGTCATGCTGGTGCTTGCTGACCAGGATAGCAAGTTGGGTAGCCAAAGTCCGATTAAACCTCTCCACTAGCCCGTCACTTTGGGGGTGGAGAGGAGTTGTTCGCGTCTTCTTAATTCCGAGCAGTCTGCAAACTTCACTGAACACCTGGGATTCAAAGTTCCGCCCCTGGTCACTGTGAAGCTCAGAGGGCACTCCAAAACGGGTGAACATCTCATCAACCAGTCTTCCGGCTGTTGTGGCGGCACTTTGATCTGGTACAGCATAGGCTTCCGGCCACTTCGTAAAATAGTCCATGGCTACTAGGACGTAGCGGTTTCCAGTATCGGTCACAGGAAAGGGCCCAAGAATATCCTTACCTACTCGTTCCATGGGAGCCCCGACCAGGTATTGCTGAAGGGGGGCATGTGAGCGCTGGGTGGGACCTTTCCGAGCAGTGCACAAATCACAGCAATGCACATGTATTTCCACGTCCTGTTGGCAGTCGGGCCAGTAGAAACGTCCCCTAAGCCGATGGAGGGTCTTGGAGATGCCAAAGTGGCCTGAGCCGATTGAGCCGTGCACACTCCTGAGGAGGACCTGAGGTTGAAGTGAACGGGGCACTAATAACTGTAAGATGTCTTTTCCCTGCCCTGGAGCCCGCCACCTCCGGAACAGCAAGCCGTTACGAAGCTCAATGTTGCCCTACTGAGAGTAATAGGCCTTAATATCAGTGCCATGGGGGGATACTGCCAGCCATTCAGGACGTCTGGGCAGTTCCAGCCACTTCCTGATCAGGGCCAGGGTGGTATCGGACTCTTGCAGTTGCTGCAGCTGTTCTGGAGACAGGTCATCAGGGGGGGTTAATTGTGGCAGTGGAAACCCTGGGCTTGTCCCGATCCCGCTCTTCCTGGCGCTCGCAGTAACGACACTCTGCTATAACACACGGGCGTCGTGACAGGGCATCCGCATTATTGTGAGGCAATGTTGAATGTCAAAATCGTAAGTTTGGAGAACTTCCAGCCAACGAGCTACTTGTCCCTCTGGCTGCTTGAAACTCAAAAGCCAGGTCAGTGAGGCATAATCTGTGCGTAGGAGGAACTTGTTGCCGTGCAAATAAGGGCGAAAATGGTGTACTGCCATTACTACGGCCAACAGCTCTCGGCGTGTGACACAGTAGTTCCTCTCCTCACGACTGAGAGCGCGACTGTAGTACCCCACTACTCGCTCTCCTTCGCCTCCCTGCTGTGAAAGGACAGCCCCAATTCCGGTGCCACTAGCGTCTGTGTCCACCACATAGGGGAGATCTACGTGCGGGTACGCAAGGATGGGCGTGGCTGTGAGGGCTGCTTTTAGCTGGTTGAAAGCAGTGTCACAGCTGTTAGTCCAAATGAAAGGCTTTCCTTTGTCCGTCAGGCGGTGTAGGGGCCCTGCGACAGAGGCAAAGTTCCTGACAAAGCGGCGATAGTAGGACGCCAGTCCCAAGAAACTGCGGAGGTTACGTACGTTAACCGGGATCGGCCAATCCTGGACAGCCGCTACTTTCTCTGGGTTAGTCGCTACTCCTTCAGCACTGACCACATGACCCAGGAAAGTAGTCTCTCTCTGCAGAAGGTGGCACTTGGCACTGAAGACGCCGCTCAGGTGGCCCAAAGCTTTGCTGAAATCACTCGCATGGACCAGCAGGTCATCCAGGTACACCACACAATGGCTGCGAGGAATGTCGGCGAGCACCCGCTCCATGAGACGCTCGAATGTGGCCGGCGCATTGCACAGGCCAAATGGAATTACACGAAACTGCCAGAGTCCTTGCCCGAATGTGAATGCAGTCTTTGCCCTGGCCTGGGGGCTGAGCTCCACCTGCCAATATCCACTTCGCATGTCGAGGGAGCTGAACCAACTTGATCCACTAATGTAATCCAGAGCATCGTCGATGCGGGGTAGTGGATAAGAGTCCTTCTTTGTGACCGCGTTGAGACGACGGTAATCCACACAGAACCGCCACCCACCCAATCTCTTGCGCACAAGAACTAATGGAGCTGCCCAGGGACTACTGGATGGTTCTATTATTCCAGCCGCAAGCATTTTGTGGATCATGTCCTCTGCTAACTGTCTCTTTGAAAGGGCGAGCCGATGGGGCCTAAGGCGTATTGGGGGGCCGAACCAGTGTCAATAGAGTGCTGGACAAGCCCAGTTTGTGTACAGTCCTCATCTCGAGCCGCAAAGATGTCCACATACCTGTCCAAGAGATGTCTCAACTGCTCTTTTTGACACTGATCTAGGCCCTCACTACTGCGCTGCCACAGCTCTTTGACAGCATTCACAGTCTCCGTGGATGGGGGTGGTATGGCACGGGACTGGCTGTGCAAGCGCCAGCCGGTGTTGGGGAGCGTTGATCTGCCGCCTGGGCCGCTGCTGGGACCACCGCTGGAACCGCCACTGCTGGGACTGCCACATCTGGGGCCGCCTGGACCTCGACCACCGCTGCTGGGACCGCCTGGACCTGGACTGCCTTGATCGTCACCGCTGGGACCACCTGGACCGTCGCCTCTGGGACCGCCTGGACCGCCGCCGCTGGGACCACCTGGACCGTCGCCGCTGGGACCGCCTGGACCGCCGCCGCTGGGATCGCCTGGACCTCGACTGCCTGGACCAACTGGACTGCCGCTGCTGGGACCGCCTGGACTGCCGCTGCTGGGACCGCCTGGACCGCCGCTGCTGGGACCGCCTGGACCTTGACCGCCTGAACCACCCGGACCGCCGCCGCTGGGACCGCCGCTTCTGGGACCGCCTGGACCGTCACCGCAGGGACCACCTGGACCGCCGCCTCTGGGACCACCTGGACCGCCGCCGCTGGGACTGCCTGGACCGCCGCCGCTGGGACCACCTGGACCTTGACTGCCTGGACCACCTGGACTGCCACTTCTGGAACCGCCTGGACCGTTGCCGCTGGGACCGCCTGGACCTTGACTGCCTGGACCTCGACCGCCTGGACCGCCTGGACCGCCGTCGCTGGGACCGCTGCTTCTGGGACCGCCTGGACCGCCACTTCTGGAACTGCCTGGACCGTCACCGCTGGGACCGCCTGGACCTTGACTGCCTGGACCTCAACCGCCTGGACCACCTGGACCGCCGCCGCTGGGACCGCCTGGACCGTCACCGCTGGGACCACCTGGACCGCCGCCGCTGGGACCGCCTGGATCTGGACCGCCACCGCTGGAACCACCCCGCTTGGACTGACTTTCCGGGTTCTCTGCCTCTTTCTTTTCCGGTTTTCAGGCTGGAGATCAACTGTGAGAGGCCCAAGAGTGAGGGTCGACTTCACAAGGTCAACAAGAGCACCACAGTCTAATCCAATGATACAAGGGTCCTGTATTCGCGCTAACCAGAATTCATGTTCCAACATTTGGTCCTGAACTTCAATCCGCACACTTTTTTTTCCTTGCATACCCGCCCTCTCTCCTGTGACAGTGGTGAGCTGCATGTGTGTTGGTGACCAGGAGGTGGAAAGTGGGCCTGTTGTACCAGGGAGTACTCCTGGCTGTACGAGCGAGATAGTGGACCCTGTATCAATCAGTGCACGACAGGGTTGGCCATCTACAACGCAATCCAAGTACAGTCCTTTTGAGCAAACAGGTTGGTCCACCACAGAGCATTGTCCTTGTAGAGGTGCAGGTTTTTGGGGTGGGGTCTTCCTCTCTACTCCACCCCCCGATCGTTTCCCGTTGGCTGTGGCTCCTTAGCTTTTGGGGATGGTGCAGGGCAGTTTCGAGCTACAGTAGGTCCCACTTCGTTTTGTCGCCTTTCACGCGTGAATCACACGAGACTCACGTGTAATTCACGCGTCTTTTATTTATTTTTTCCCCAGTGATGCTGCAATGACCCAAACAACCACCAGGTGGCACTTGTGAGCAGGGTTAGGAAAATTGGCTTTTCATCGGTCTTTTTTCTCTGTCACCGGTCAACTCTCTGTGGCTTTATAGCTCAATGATAAGGCGGTGGACTCTGCTGCGAGAGGACCCGGGTTCGAGTACAGGCTATGACACTTTTGATTTTGTTGACGTTTACATATTTTCTAAAACATACTTAGTAATTAGGCCAACACATTTAAAATAGTTGTAGACTGTAGTAAACTGTTGTAAACTTCACAATCTGCACCAACCAAACTGCAGGAAAAAAATTCAACTTTATTCAGTAACGGAGTAATCTGATTCATATACTCCCCCCGCTAATAAAAACTGAGGATTGGCCGGGGCTCGAACCCCGATCGTCCAAGCGAAACAGCTGATATGGTCCTGTCCTCGATAAGTTACAGATTTGCAGGGATGACTTCAACAGAGGTAAGACATGTTACTGTTTTGTATGATATTTAGACCAAATCAAATCTATATTTTCCAAGATGTGATACTTCAGCAAATGTAAAGCCACATTATATTCACACAAATGAACAACATTTCAAAGGGGAACAAAAAAGTGTCTATTATGTATATATAAACGTAAGCCTAACTGTAATAATACAATTCCACAGATAGAAATGCTTCCATGACAAGCCAAAATCATCTTTTCATTGGGCCTTATAAGGTTAGCGTAGCATGAGACTTTTTGTGGTATATTTACTACTCATAAACATAAATCAGTGAAGTCACTGTTATTTTGCAGCCAAGACAAGCTAACATTAGCAACATTATTATTCCCATAGAAAATACAGCATAATTACCACTGTTACTGTTTTGTTTTTATTATTGTTATTACTGACACTAGTCTGCTACTAATACTACACAAGTTGTCTGTAGGTATAAAACTATATCAACTCTTCTGATAAATTCAAAATATTTTTCGATGAAGTTTGTACAAAACACACATTCCAGAACAGTGACATCTAAATCTTTTTGCTTTTCCTTCCAGGACTCCAGTCCAGTTGAATCTGTAGTTTCTGAGAGCAGTGACTTTGAATGGGGGAGAGGCAGACGAGCAGCAAGAAGAGGAAGAGGAGCAGCAAGATGAGGAAGAGGAGCAGCAAGATGAGGAAGAGGAGCAGCAAGAGGAGGAAGAGCAGCAGCCAGAGGAGGAAGAGGAGCAGCCAGAGGAGGAAGAGCAGCAGCAAGAGGAGGAAGAGCAGCAGCCAGAGGAGAGGCCAGGCAGGAATGAGAAGAGCAGGACATGTGGGTTATAAAGAAGCCCCTTTATTCGTTCGACAGTAGGGAATTAAAACTAAAATGCAACTCATCACCACTTTAGAAATTAGTCTTTCTTTTATTTCAATGTTTGGGGGAAATTTTTTAATATTTGACATAATATAAATAAATGTGCTGTGTCCATCTTTGATTGCTGTCAGCTTCTGTTCAGGGACCAGATAATAAAGTCCTAGAAAAAGAAAGAAAAATATTTTATATCATAGAGACTTGTTTTCCACTTGATAATCATCACTACCTGTCCTCTGTTGTGTCTGCTCCAGTTCAGCTGCAGGAGGAGGGATGAGGAGGACAGAGGACCCATGGCCCTGGGGTCATGGGTCCCCAGCAGGAGGAGGGATGAGGAGGACAGAGGACCCATGGCCCTGGGGTCATCTGCTTACATTTTTTGAGAGTCCCCCAGGCAGAGCTGAGGCGCTGGTCTGGGATAGAGCTGTAGTCTTTAGTCTCCTTCACAGTGTAACACTAAGACTTTTTCTGTAGACATCAGTAGAAATAATATATTTCTTTATTGCTTTTATACTGTATCTTGATAATAAAGTATGACGTACGATACTTGGCCTTTGCTGCTCACATGCACTGGGCGATGGTTATGGAGGTTGTTGTCTAATGCAGCGAGGAGTGTACGAACTTCATAGGCGCCAAGTAAATCCATAAGTAAATCCATAAGTAAATCCAAAACGCTTCCCTGCGTACATCAGGACATGGTTTTGGAAAGATTCGAGCTTCGAAGTTGTCCTACAGAACAAAGATTATTGTAACGTCAAACATACAAATAAATTCGATCTCCGTGTAATAAAATATACTTTGTAGTATTAAAAAGGCAGTTCCTGTACATTCCCACAAGATGTCACCCACGTGACTTACCGAAAGGTGAGCAACTTCTCAATATCCTTCAGCCACCTCCGGTTAAGAACCACGTGGAATGGGCTCTTTGTCCTGTTTATCCTCCAGAGGCGCATATGGTGAAGTGCACCTCTCCACACACCCTAAATGTATACAATACGTTGTATATCAAAAGTTATACCATGTCACCACACAAAGAGAAAAATTACATTATCTAGTGACGTTATAATTATCCAATGTTCATACAGACCATAAACTCCTCTCTGGTGCTTGTGTGCTGACAAGCATACCAGAAATGGTTAAAGATGTCCTCGATCCATACAAGTAAAGCCTTTTGACCAGAAACCATTCCAGCCTGATTGAAGACACCACAATTATATTTAAAAAAGTCTTACCAGACCTGTGTTGAATACAATTAAACACTTACGATGTCCATGGTGTCTAGCTCCATCGTTGTGTACGTACAGCACATAGCAGTGACCTTTTTGGAAAAATATATAGATTGTGGGGGAAATAATGACAAACATTTCAATAACAACACACCGATATTAATGAAATGCCACAGAGCTTTGTGCATTACCTGGTAAGTAGATCCTCCTGTCACCTAAAACATAAACACAAAAGGCATGTAAGCATACATATACACGGGCTTAGAAATGAATATGCTTACTTACCAAGGGCAACAACGTTGTCTTTGGACTCTAATCTGTTGATGATAGCAGTCCTTTTCTCCTCCCAAAACTGCTTTATTGTTTTTAGACAGTAGGTTCCCTGGACTGCATAAAATGTTGAGGAGGCACCATGCAGATATTCATGAATTTGAATAAGAGGGAAATATTGGAGAACAACATAAAATCTCCTCCTTGCATAAACTCCATAATTTGTGGCCGTGCGGGCAAAACTATATGGGGAAGAAAGTGTTAACAAGTCTGTAACTTCACACATGTACCACCTTAGTCTGGTAAACACATGTGCAAACCATGTAAACTCACCCACTCCAATATCAAAGCTGTACCTCGGGCATGTGACTTTACAGAAAAGGGTGGACGGCCGTCACACTCTGTGCCTGTGTGGTCACTGTAGTGGCATTTATTGACAGGCAATTGGAGAAAAGTTGCCATCTTCAGCAGGTTTTTGTTGTATGCTATGCATGCCTGCTGGTTTACAAGGTCACTTTCAACAACCACTCCATATGGTTTTGGGAAAATGGGAATGGTGGCTGCTGCCTCCTCTTCAAGATCTGCTTCTTGGACTTCCTCAACACAGTCAGCAATGTCTAATATAGATTATTCCAGCCCAATGCAAGGAAGTTTGTCGACCATATCCTGCGATGCACCGCTATTTTACAACCCAAATGAAATGTATACTATCAGTGAGTGAAAAGTAAAAGATAAGAAAAAAAATACATACCGTAATGAGATTGGTGGCACATAATCTGAATCATACGGGTCTGAAACTCCATCCCCCTCAAACTCTATTCTGGAATTAAAAAAGAACAGCCCAATATGTAAATTATGAACCAACACATACACATAGAATTTTTTTGACAAAAAACAGTATTCGTCAAATGTTAAAATTCATGCATGTTTACCTTTTCTCTAACGATTGTAACCTTGTATCTGCTGTCAGAGGTTCAACTCCTGCAATGTGAAATTCTTCCCTGTAGGACAAAATACTTTTTAGTTGACTTTTCAGATTCGCCTGCAGTCACTGAACTGGGGGGATGGGGCCCCATCAACACCTCTGCTGATGGGCCATGGGTGGTCCCTTTGATAGAGAGTGCCTCTCGTAACTACAACAATAGAGCCAGCCATACCGTAATGAGATTGGTGGCACATAATCCTGAATCATACGGGTCTGAAAACTCCATCCCCCTCAAACTCTATTCTGAATTAAAAAGAACAGCCCAATATGTAAATTATGAAACCAACACATACACATAGAATTTTTTTTCATAGAGACAAATTGTAAGAATTGATTGACACTTTCAAATCTAAACTTTTTCAGAGCAGTTTCCATCTCCATTTCAAATTCTCTTGTTACTATGTCCAATGATACATTTAGAGAACACAATTATTGGTTAAGAAGATGTAATGTTTACCAAGCACAGTAGGTCAATAAAGCGTGGATAGTGAGCGACAATTTCCTGCATTGTGGGAGACTCTGTTGAAATCCAAAGCCTCCGACTTGTGAATGTTTTATCCATGCCCATTTTGATTGTTGCAATGTTCTCAGGGATGGGCTTCATCCTTTTAATAGCAGATGTCCACTCCAGTGTAGCCTCTGCCTCCTGCTCTGCCATGTGAAGGGTAACTATGACATCAGGATCGGGTACACTACAACGAACTCTTTTCCGGTATCGCCGCTGATCTTCGTGAAGACTTCTGCGGAGGTTCCTCAGCCTCATTTCAATAAACCCACAATGGGAAACTGGGTCAAAGAAATGCTCCTAGACAATAAAAAAAAAGAACAGTTATACATGTGTATATATTATACACACACACACACACGTGTGTGTAAATATACTCACAAATCCTTCATTTTTTTCCTGGTAGTTTATCTTTAGCGAGGGAAAGACTTACTATACTTCTAGCCAGAAGTATTTTGTCATCCTTTGAGGGATAGCTAAATAACAGACAAAAGTATGATTAACTGTATGATACATTTTAATATAGATACCATAACTGTAATCTTATCTTAAAACTCTGCATTAACAAAAGGTCTGACATATTCAATGATGTAAATTGCATTATAATAATCATGGCGTAAAAGAGTTTCTTTTTAAGAAACAAATGCAAAAAGTCAACAGTTCAAGGTCAAATGACTTAATTCTGTTAACTTTCATAATGCATGACTTAGTGAAATTGACAAATGTAGAAATTGCTTATTTGGTTTTTGTATAAGAATCAAAGGCATCATGTATCGCGTTATGTTTGTGAACCAATTTATTGTCCATCAAAATTGTTATCGTGATAGGCCTAGTTACAGGTTCATTCCAACCAAGCAGAGCCACACCGGACTCCACCCATTTCCTCAAGACTTTCTTCTTACATGAGAATTGGAGGGGGTCTGGTGTGCCCCTGCTTGGTTGAAATGAAAGCCATCAGTCAGACTTTTGGACTGCAGTGTGTGTACAGGTGTAGATACGAGTATTTTGAAATACTTACAATCCCTTCTGTTCCACGAGATGGCTCACAGATACTTTAACAAGCAGTTTTCGTGACGTGATGGAAAGACTGCCTGATGATTCGAACTCCAAGAGGAGATTTGGGGCTTTTTCCTTCAACAGTTTTCTCAAACTATCATTGCCTGGCTGTGGTTCATTCTGCAAAAAACAATGAAATCCATGAATACAGGTGAATGCTGAAACATTTGAAAATCATGAAAAATGTAATTATGTGAAACTAATACATAAAAAGAAGGCAAAACATTTTTTTCTTCTTTTTTAAAGTCAGATGGAGGAGAATCGACAATGGAAAATGGACAAGGAGATCTCGAAAAAGGAATTTACCTTTGCAACATAATTACAGAAAGATATCAGTTAGAATAAAGGCATAAATAATTGGCACTAGTCACTTTACCATAAGTCCATAATATATATTACTTCACATTTTAAGTTGTGAAAAGAATGTACTTTGACACACTATTAAAATTACTCAGGATTCATCATTCACTACAATATAATGTAAAACATGTAAACAAATGACATACCTCTGACAGTCCAACTGTAGATGAAGCAATGGCTCCAATTGAAGTTGAATCCGAGGGCTGGTTCTTAGGAAGGAAAAACAGTAAACAGATAAAAGTTGAGGTTACAATAAGAAATAAAAAATATTACCAATAGTTGAACATTACAAACCTGATATTCCGAAGTGTATGATTTAAATGAAATTCTGTATTTGTCAAGGTTCTGGACAAGTACATTGACATCCGCATCAGTAAATTCCTTAAAATCTTCACTGTATATTTGAACAGAATGAAAGTCGGCTTTGTCTGTTAAAAAGCTTGTGCTTTTATCAATCAGTTCTTTAATTGTGTTGAGATGGTAAACTCTTTTGGCAATCTCTTTGTCATCCAGCACAATAGTCACAAGAGATCTGGGATTCTCCTCCATCTGACAGGGAAAAAAAGAACAAAATAAAAAAAATATGTATATATTCTTACCTGTCAAACTGCACACACCGCCAAATTAAGCATCTTTAAACAAATGCTAAATTATAATGTATGTATTATAGCTATTTAAATTACAGATCATGAAATTCATAAACACGGGTTATCTAAAATATTTTAAAAAGGCTCGTTAAAATTTACAAGACTAGTGGAAAATGTAAGCAATAATCAACTACGCGAGCAAGAATTAATTACCATAAGTATATCTTGTATGCAATAAAACGGCTCAGTTTACTCGTGCTTCCGCAGCAGCCCTCAAACTCAACGCTAGCCTCCTGCTTCCATGACAGGGTGAACACCGCACTCACCTCAAATATCACATATAAAGCCAGCATTGGCCATTTCACATTTACAGTCCTCTTATGAGCATTTCTAAACTGTGTGCCCGCACCATGAATCTATTGGATGCTTTGGGTTAGCACTACCACATCCGAGTGGCTAACCTGGAAAAACAGAGCTACGAAAGCGGGGGTCAATTTCGCGCAATTATTGATAAATGATCTGTCAGATCAGTTATCCCCACATATCTTGATCGATTACATCGTTAAGTGTTAACCACAGCTACTCACTTCGTCTGGTTAGGGTTAACTAACAAGTTAGACGAGAGCGATGTCAAGGCTAGCGTGGCTAGTAGCCCAATGAGCGCCAGATAGCCGACGCATTGCGCCACTTTAATGCCAGTTTCAGCCCACAAGGAACAAAGAATAGTCACGCTGGCATCTTGTATGATCCATTTAAACAAGCCCACCAATTAATATCAAATGTAGTAACGTTACGTTTAGCACAGACCGTTAACAAGCTCGCTCCTTAGCCACAATAGAAAGCTAACATAAAAACGAACAAGTGACTCCCACAAACCTCTTTTATCGTGTTAATCACTGCACGGCTCATATAGCAAAGCAGACAACACTGTAATGAGAATTAATACTTATTTATATTATAATAGTTACCTTATTTTGTTGACGCGGGCAGCCCAGATCCATGGGGCAGCCTCGCTCCGGTCCGGTTTTCAAAAGACAGATGAGTGTCTGCAGCTGCTCTGAACCTGATTGGCTGTTAGGTCAACACAGTGATGTGTAGCTCTGAACCTGATTGGCTGTTAGGTCAACACAGTGATGTGTAGCTCTGAACCTGATTGGCTGTTAGGTCAACACAGTGATGTGTAGCTCTGAACCTGATTGGCTGTTAGGTCAACACAGTGATGTGTAGCTCTGAACCTGATTGGCTGTTAGGTCAACACAGTGATGTGTAGCTCTGAACCTGATTGGCTGTTAGGTCAACACAGTGATGTGTAGCTCTGAACCTGATTGGCTGTTAGGTCAACACAGTGATGTGTAGCTCTGAACCTGATTGGCTGTTAGGTCAACACAGTGATGTGTAGCTCTGAACCTGATTGGCTGTTAGGTCAACACAGTGATGTGTAGCTCTGAACCTGATTGGCTGTTAGGTCAACACAGTGATGTGTAGCTCTGAACCTGATTGGCTGTTAGGTCAACACAGTGATGTGTAGCTCTGAACCTGATTGGCTGTTAGGTCAACACAGTGATGTGTAGCTCTGAACCTGATTGGCTGTTAGGTCAACACAGTGATGTGTAGCTCTGAACCTGATTGGCTGTTAGGTCAACACAGTGATGTGTAGCTCTGAACCTGATTGGCTGTTAGGTCAACACAGTGATGTGTAGCTCTGAACCTGATTGGCTGTTAGGTCAACACAGTGATGTGTAGCTCTGAACCTGATTGGCTGTTAGGTCAACACAGTGATGTGTAGCTCTGAACCTGATTGGCTGTTAGGTCAACACAGTGATGTGTAGCTCTGAACCTGATTGGCTGTTAGGTCAACACAGTGATGTGTAGCTCTGAACCTGATTGGCTGTTAGGTCAACACAGTGATGTGTAGCTCTGAACCTGATTGGCTGTTAGGTCAACACAGTGATGTGTAGCTCTGAACCTGATTGGCTGTTAGGTCAACACAGTGATGTGTAGCTCTGAACCTGATTGGCTGTTAGGTCAACACAGTGATGTGTAGCTCTGAACCTGATTGGCTGTTAGGTCAACACAGTGATGTGTAGCTCTGAACCTGATTGGCTGTTAGGTCAACACAGTGATGTGTAGCTCTGAACCTGATTGGCTGTTAGGTCAACACAGTGATGTGTAGCTCTGAACCTGATTGGCTGTTAGGTCAACACAGTGATGTGTAGCTCTGAACCTGATTGGCTGTTAGGTCAACACAGTGATGTGTAGCTCTGAACCTGATTGGCTGTTAGGTCAACACAGTGATGTGTAGCTCTGAACCTGATTGGCTGTTAGGTCAACACAGTGATGTGTAGCTCTGAACCTGATTGGCTGTTAGGTCAACACAGTGATGTGTAGCTCTGAACCTGATTGGCTGTTAGGTCAACACAGTGATGTGTAGCTCTGAACCTGATTGGCTGTTAGGTCAACACAGTGATGTGTAGCTCTGAACCTGATTGGCTGTTAGGTCAACACAGTGATGTGTAGCTCTGAACCTGATTGGCTGTTAGGTCAACACAGTGATGTGTAGCTCTGAACCTGATTGGCTGTTAGGTCAACACAGTGATGTGTAGCTCTGAACCTGATTGGCTGTTAGGTCAACACAGTGATGTGTAGCTCTTGTGACGGTCTAAGTCGCTGGAAGAGCTAAAGTGGACTTAGCCTGCCACCTTGTGGCGATAAGATGTACTATTTTTCACGCAGCTGCGTGATTCCCGAGAAGCGTGAATGAAGACGACAAAACGGAATGGGACCTACTGTAAGTGTCCGGGTTCATCACAGCGAAAACAGCAATCGGTGGCAGTTCTGCGGCATCCCCTGGGGACTGGAGTACGGACCTGATAAACTTCTTCAACTCCGACTTCTTCATAATCCACTTGGCGATCTCGCTGCAGCATATTTGTGGCCCTTCCCAGGTTTGGCCGTGTGGAGAGCACTATCTCCGCCCGTTCAGCTTCCTGGAGAGCTTCATTCAGGCAGCGAGGGCGAGCAAGACGCACATATTGACGTAGCCTTTCTGGGGTAAGACCTTGGAGAAATGCATGAAGTGCGAGTTCGTCACGTGCAGCAATTAGAAACTGTGGGTAACCACGCTGGGTATGGAATTGTATATTGGCCGCGAAGGTACCCAAGTTTTCCCCTTCCTTCCGATATAGGCCACTCAGCTGCTCCCTGCTCTCTTCCGCATGCAGGCGCTTTCCAAAGCGCCGTTTGAGACCAATCATCAGGGCCCGTAAATCTTGCTGATCCTCTAAGGACAAGTCAAGGAGAATTTGAAGGGCGACACCTTCTAATGCCAAGGCAAGGTGGGTGGCAGTTTCATCGTCGCTCCAGCCACTATGCCATGATGCTAGTCTAACTTGGGCAAGGAAGGGCTCCACTGGTGTGGTTCCACTGTACTTGGGTAGTTTAGCAGGGGTCTTTGGTGTAATCATCTGTCTTGGGGCATGTGTTATCACAGTTTGCCTCTGAGTATGTGCTGAGCCCCCCCCCCCTAGTAAGTCATTCACTTGGACATTCTGCTCTATGTTGCCTGTTTGAGAGCTTATATCTTTCCTGACAGCCTCCAGGGGGCGTCGTGGCCTCACTATGCTCTGTTTACTTGAAGTGTGGTGTGGACTGGTCCTACCAGCTTCCAGGGGGCGCTGTGGTCTCTCTGTGCTCTGGTCCTCTGAAGCGTAGTGTGGAGGAGTCCAACCAGCCTCCAGAGGGCGCTGTGGCCTTGCAGTACTGTACCCATCTGCAGCATGTCTCTCTTGAAATCTCCTGGGCCTGGCTCCTTCAACCTCCTCAAGAAGACTGCAGTTTTCCAGTACTGCGCGTTCCAGCTATTCAATCTCTCTCTCCATTTCTACACTTTTTATGGGAATTATCCCACTTCTGACACCAATGTGACGTTTCGAGTCAAATAAGTCACGGGAGATAGAGTTTCTTTGCTCAACTCGTGTCACATACACCGCAAGACCCCGAGAAGGCAGTTTTATTACAGTTTTAACATTAGACTGCATAACACACTGAAAGCATAGGACCCTATCAATTAACATGGTGAGCTCAGTCATGGTGCAACACTTAACAGTCAACATAACAATAAACCTGACAAAACTCAGTATTGCTCACTCCAAATGTCTCACTGTCCTGTTCACCCGCTGCACTCTCCTGGGAGTGCATCCACAGCAGGTGCCAAGAGAGACACACCACATAACTCCTCAAATGCTGTCATTCAAAAGTCTTGGCTCCAGAGTTTCTCTGTAAAATCTGGACCGCAAACGCTCTCTCTGTACAGCGCTTCAGTGCATTCTCAAGACGCTGCAGACGCTTCATTGATGAGAGCCACCGCTGCACAATATGAATTCATTCATTCATTCTTTATTTATTCACTTCTATCAAAACATTTCTGCAAATTTGTTCAAAACGCAGCTGAATAAACAGCGTAGCGTATGTAGCGTATATTTATTTTTACACATGCATGAACAACCTGTGGCAGACCCTGCGCAGTATCGTAATCACGCACATGTTTTGCCTCATTCACCTCTGGCAAAGCAATGTGGGTTTTCCTTAGTTTTGTGCATAAAGAACCATAAATGCACCTGATCTTGCTCAAAACTGTCTCAGACACTGCCCTTTACTCCGCAGCAGAGACAGGATGCCACGCACCAGCAGTATAGTTCATTCATTCATTTATAATTTATTTATTTACGTGGAAATTTCAGGAGAGATGAGTGCTGCAGTGGGTCTAGACACTAGGGAAGTGTATATATAATAGAGCGTATATTTATATATTTTTAAACGTGAATAATCTCAGAAGTGCGTGCTTTTTGCGACTTCTTAGCCGACTTCCTGCTGACCTGTCGCAAAAACAGGGCGTGGAACAGGCAGTTTCTGAATATTTCTAGGCGTGACTTTCATAAATACGCTGGTTTTGAGCGCGGCATTTATCAACAGCCGCAGGTGCGTACGCTCAGATCTGTGCCTCACACGTTCATAAATGCCACGTCAGATCTGGAGTATCTGAGATCTACACCCAAAATATACACCCTTTTCTCTATGGACCATGTATGGACCATGTGTGGACCATGTGTGGACCGTTTATGGACCACATATGGGACCGTTTATGGACCATGAATGGAACCATGTATGGACCATGTACGGTAGCCTGGCTCCAGCCGACCTTTAGCCCCGCCTCCATGGAGTTTCTGCGGGCAGGTCGGTCTGGCATTCCTCAATGGAAAAAGTATTATGGGGGGCGTGTTCGAACTGAAACAGGAAACACAATCCCCCTTCGTTCTATTGGATAGTCCAACAACCAATGAGAGCGAGGTGTGACGTATTTATGCGACGTTATTATTGTTTACCTTCTCGCATGCTGCCTGTAAAATGAGTGCAAACGACTTGTGCCGGTGTTGCAAAAAGAACTTGAAGATACGCGGAGTATTTAGCAACACGTTACTAATTTTTGAGAGAAATAAAAAAGGTAAATCCATATACGAACAAGTCCTCCATTTAGGATTACAACTTCACAAGACATCAGAGAAATCTACGCGCATTTGTCGGTCCTGTCACAACCTGATTACAAGACTGGAACGCGACATTCCCGTGTTCAAATCATGGACAAACGAAGAAGGAGAACCGGCTGAAGAAGCATGCTCATCAGAGTCACCATCAGAGAAGAGAGACCGGGAGCTGAGCCCTTCTAAGTCGCCCAGAGCCCTGAAGAAGTTCTGTTCCAATCATTTAACTGCAGCCGGTGCAAAACCGCGAAGAAGCATCACAAAGGTAAGCGCATGTTAAAGAAAAAATTCTACCTATTATTTTATACCCACAATCTCGATTGCCAAGTGTTTCATATATGAAGTCGTGTTTATTTACAATGTGATTAACACATAACCATCACATGAAGCCCGCCCTGTCACTCTGACTGGCCCGGTATGTATCGTACCGGGCATAATGGTTTTTCCATTGAGGAATGCCAGACCGACCTGCCCGCAGAAACTCCATGGAGGCGGGGCTAAAGGTCGGCTGGAGCCAGGCTACATGTACGGTGAGATTTGGAATGAAAACCAGCTTCCATCAGCAAATTGAAGATGAAACATGGGTCTTTCTGTCCGTCCATAACAGACAGACCCTGGTCAGTGTTATAACAGACAGACCCTGGTCAGTGTTATAACAGACAGACCATGGTCAGTGTTATAACAGACAGACCCTGGTCAGTGTTATAACAGACAGACCCTGGTCAGTGTTATAACAGACAGACCCTGGTCAGTGTTATAACAGACAGACCCTGGTCAGTGTTATAACAGACAGACCCTGGTCAGTGTTATAACAGACAGACCCTGGTCAGTGTTGTAACAGACAGACCCTGGTCAGTGTTGTAACAGACAGACCGTGGTCAGTGTTGTAACAGACAGACCGTGGTCAGTGTTGTAACAGACAGACCATGGTCAGTGTTATAACAGACAGACCGTGGTCAGTGTTATAACAGACAGACCCTGGTCAGTGTTGTAACAGACAGACCCTGGTCAGTGTTATAACAGACAGACCCTGGTCAGTGTTATAACAGACAGACCCTGGTCAGTGTTATAACAGACAGACCCTGGTCAGTGTTGTAACAGACAGACCCTGGTCAGTGTTATAACAGACAGACCCTGGTCAGTGTTATAACAGACAGACCCTGGTCAGTGTTGTAACAGACAGACCCTGGTCAGTGTTGTAACAGACAGACCGTGGTCAGTGTTGTAACAGACAGACCGTGGTCAGTGTTATAACAGACAGACCGTGGTCAGTGTTATAACAGACAGACCCTGGTCAGTGTTGTAACAGACAGACCCTGGTCAGTGTTATAACAGACAGACCCTGGTCAGTGTTATAACAGACAGACCCTGGTCAGTGTTATAACAGACAGACCCTGGTCAGTGTTATAACAGACAGACCCTGGTCAGTGTTATAACAGACAGACCCTGGTCAGTGTTGTAACAGACAGACCGTGGTCAGTGTTGTAACAGACAGACCCTGGTCAGTGTTGTAACAGACAGACCCTGGTCAGTGTTATAACAGACAGACCCTGGTCAGTGTTGTAACAGACAGACCCTGGTCAGTGTTATAACAGACAGACCGTGGTCAGTGTTATAACAGACAGACCGTGGTCAGTGTTGTAACAGACAGACCCTGGTCAGTGTTATAACAGACAGACCCTGGTCAGTGTTGTAACAGACAGAGGTCAGTGTTATAACAGACAGACCCTGGTCAGTGTTGTAACAGACCCTGGTCAGTGTTATAACAGACAGACCGTGGTCAGTGTTATAACAGACAGACCGTGGTCAGTGTTGTAACAGACAGACCCTGGTCAGTGTTGTAACAGACAGACCCTGGTCAGTGTTGTAACAGACAGACCGTGGTCAGTGTTATAACAGACAGACCGTGGTCAGTGTTATAACAGACAGACCCTGGTCAGTGTTGTAACAGACAGACCCTGGTCAGTGTTGTAACAGACAGACCCTGGTCAGTGTTGTAACAGACAGACCCTGGTCAGTGTTATAACAGACAGACCCTGGTCAGTGTTATAACAGACAGACCCTGGTCAGTGTTATAACAGACAGACCCTGGTCAGTGTTATAACAGACAGACCCTGGTCAGTGTTATAACAGACAGACCCTGGTCAGTGTTGTAACAGACAGACCCTGGTCAGTGTTATAACAGACAGACCCTGGTCAGTGTTATAACAGACAGACCCTGGTCAGTGTTATAACAGACAGACCCTGGTCAGTGTTGTAACAGACAGACCCTGGTCAGTGTTGTAACAGACAGAGGTCAGTGTTGTAACAGACAGACCGTGGTCAGTGTTATAACAGACAGACCCTGGTCAGTGTTGTAACAGACAGAGGTCAGTGTTATAACAGACAGACCGTGGTCAGTGTTGTAACAGACAGACCGTGGTCAGTGTTATAACAGACAGACCGTGGTCAGTGTTGTAACAGACAGACCCTGGTCAGTGTTATAACAGACAGACCCTGGTCAGTGTTATAACAGACAGACCCTGGTCAGTGTTATAACAGACAGACCCTGGTCAGTGTTATAACAGACAGACCCTGGTCAGTGTTGTAACAGACAGACCCTGGTCAGTGTTATAACAGACAGACCCTGGTCAGTGTTATAACAGACAGACCGTGGTCAGTGTTGTAACAGACAGACCCTGGTGGTTTAACGACAGACCTGGTCATGTTATAACAGACAGACCCTGGTCAGTGTTATAACAGACAGACCCTGGTCAGTGTTATAACAGACAGACCCTGGTCAGTGTTGTAACAGACAGACCCTGGTCAGTGTTATAACAGACAGACCCTGGTCAGTGTTATAACAGACAGACCCTGGTCAGTAACAGACAGACCCTGGTCAGTGTTATAACAGACAGACCCTGGTCAGTGTTATAACAGACAGACCCTGGTCAGTGTTATAACAGACAGACCCTGGTCAGTGTTATAACAGACAGACCCTGGTCAGTGTGAGTGTTATAACAGACAGACCCTGGTCAGTGTTATAACAGACAGACCCTGGTCAGTGTTATAACAGACAGACCCTGGTCAGTGTTATAACAGACAGACCCTGGTCAGTGTTGTAACAGACAGACCCTGGTCAGTGTTATAACAGACAGACCCTGGTCAGTGTTATAACAGACAGACCCTGGTCAGTGTTGTAACAGACAGACCCTGGTCAGTGTTATAACAGACAGACCCTGGTCAGTGTTATAACAGACAGACCCTGGTCAGTGTGTTATAACAGACAGACCCTGGTCAGTGTTATAACAGACAGACCCTGGTCAGTGTTATAACAGACAGACCCTGGTCAGTGTTGTAACAGACAGACCCTGGTCAGTGTTGTAACAGACAGACCCTGGTCAGTGTTATAACAGACAGACCGTGGTCAGTGTTATAACAGACAGACCCTGGTCAGTGTTATAACAGACAGACCCTGGTCAGTGTTGTAACAGACAGACCCTGGTCAGTGTTATAACAGACAGACCCTGGTCAGTGTTATAACAGACAGACCCTGGTCAGTGTTGTAGACAGACAGACAGACCCTGGTCAGTGTTGTAACAGACAGACCGTGGTCAGTGTTATAACAGACAGACCGTGGTCAGTGTTATAACAGACAGACCCTGGTCAGTGTTATAACAGACAGACCCTGGTCAGTGTTATAACAGACAGACCCTGGTCAGTGTTATAACAGACAGACCCTGGTCAGTGTTATAACAGACAGACCCTGGTCAGTGTTATAACAGACAGACCGTGGTCAGTGTTATAACAGACAGACCCTGGTCAGTGTTATAACAGACAGACCCTGGTCAGTGTTGTAACAGACAGACCGTGGTCAGTGTTATAACAGACAGACCGTGGTCAGTGTTATAACAGACAGACCCTGGTCAGTGTTATAACAGACAGACCCTGGTCAGTGTTGTAACAGACAGACCGTGGTCAGTGTTATAACAGACAGACCCTGGTCAGTGTTATAACAGACAGACCATGGTCAGTGTTGTAACAGACAGACCCTGGTCAGTGTTATAACAGACAGACCCTGGTCAGTGATATAACAGACAGACCCTGGTCAGTGTTATAACAGACAGACCGTGGTCAGTGTTGTAACAGACAGACCCTGGTCAGTGATATAACAGACAGACCGTGGTCAGTGTTATAACAGACAGACCCTGGTCAGTGTTATAACAGACAGACCCTGGTCAGTGTTGTAACAGACAGACCCTGGTCAGTGTTATAACAGACAGACCCTGGTCAGTGTTATAACAGACAGACCCTGGTCAGTGTTATAACAGACAGACCCTGGTCAGTGTTATAACAGACAGACCCTGGTCAGTGTTATAACAGACAGACCGTGGTCAGTGTTATAACAGACAGACCCTGGTCAGTGATATAACAGACAGACCCTGGTCAGTGTTATAACAGACAGACCCTGGTCAGTGTTGTAACAGACAGACCCTGGTCAGTGTTATAACAGACAGACCCTGGTCAGTGTTATAACAGACAGACCCTGGTCAGTGTTATAACAGACAGACCCTGGTCAGTGTTCTAACAGACAGACCCTGGTCAGTGTTATAACAGACAGACCCTGGTCAGTGTTATAACAGACAGACCCTGGTCAGTGTTGTAACAGACAGACCCTGGTCAGTGTTATAACAGACAGACCCTGGTCAGTGTTATAACAGACAGACCCTGGTCAGTGTTATAACAGACAGACCCTGGTCAGTGTTGTAACAGACAGACCGTGGTCAGTGTTATAACAGACAGACCCTGGTCAGTGTTATAACAGACAGACCGTGGTCAGTGTTGTAACAGACAGACCCTGGTCAGTGTTGTAACAGACAGACCGTGGTCAGTGTTATAACAGACAGACCCTGGTCAGTGTTGTAACAGACAGACCCTGGTCAGTGTTGTAACAGACAGACCGTGGTCAGTGTTATAACAGACAGACCGTGGTCAGTGTTATAACAGACAGACCCTGGTCAGTGTTATAACAGACAGACCGTGGTCAGTGTTGTAACAGACAGACCGTGGTCAGTGTTGTAACAGACAGACCGTGGTCAGTGTTGTAACAGACAGACCGTGGTCAGTGTTGTAACAGACAGACCCTGGTCAGTGTTGTAACAGACAGACCCTGGTCAGTGTTGTAACAGACAGACCCTGGTCAGTGTTATAACAGACAGACCGTGGTCAGTGTTATAACAGACAGACCCTGGTCAGTGTTGTAACAGACAGACCCTGGTCAGTGTTATAACAGACAGACCCTGGTCAGTGTTATAACAGACAGACCCTGGTCAGTGTTGTAACAGACAGACCCTGGTCAGTGTTGTAACAGACAGACCGTGGTCAGTGTTATAACAGACAGACCGTGGTCAGTGTTGTAACAGACAGACCGTGGTCAGTGTTATAACAGACAGACCCTGGTCAGTGTTATAACAGACAGACCGTGGTCAGTGTTGTAACAGACAGACCGTGGTCAGTGTTATAACAGACAGACCGTGGTCAGTGTTGTAACAGACAGACCGTGGTCAGTGTTGTAACAGACAGACCCTGGTCAGTGTTGTAACAGACAGACCCTGGTCAGTGTTGTAACAGACAGACCCTGGTCAGTGTTATAACAGACAGACCGTGGTCAGTGTTATAACAGACAGACCCTGGTCAGTGTTGTAACAGACAGACCCTGGTCAGTGTTATAACAGACAGACCCTGGTCAGTGTTATAACAGACAGACCCTGGTCAGTGTTGTAACAGACAGACCCTGGTCAGTGTTGTAACAGACAGACCCTGGTCAGTGTTGTAACAGACAGACCGTGGTCAGTGTTGTAACAGACAGACCCTGGTGGTTACATTACCCTCTGGTTCCATCTGAATGAAAACTGTTGTAAAGACAAAAGGCAAACGCACCGCGCTTTGAGACGCCTCCTTTATTCTCAAAAAGAACAGAGCGCAACAGACCAGAGACTGGTCTATGGTCTCAGAGACCAGAGGAGGTGCTATCTGCTGCTGTGTGTCCAGGAGGAGGTGCTATCTGCTGCTGTGTGTCCAGGAGGAGGTGCTTTCTGCTGCTGTGTGTCCAGGAGGAGGTGCTATCTGCTGCTGTGTGTCCAGGAGGAGGTGCTATCTGCTGCTGTGTGTCCAGGAGGAGGTGCTTTCTGCTGCTGTGTGTCCAGGAGGAGGTGCTATCTGCTGCTGTGTGTCCAGGAGGAGGTGCTATCTGCTGCTGTGTGTCCAGGAGGAGGTGCTTTCTGCTGCTGTGTGTCCAGGAGGAGGTGCTATCTGCTGTGTGTCCAGGAGGAGGTGCTATCTGCTGCTGTCCTGCAGGAGGAGGTGCTATCTGCTGCTGTGTGTACAGGAGGAGGTGCTATCTGCTGCTGTGTGTACAGGAGGTGGTGCTATCTGCTGCTGTCCTGCAGGAGGAGGTGCTATCTGCTGCTGTGTGTTCAGGAGGAGGTGCTATCTGCTGCTGTGTGTCCAGGAGGAGGTGCTATCTGCTGCTGTGTGTTCAGGAGGAGGTGCTATCTGCTGCTGTGTGTCTAGAAGGAGGTGCTATCTGCTGCTGTGTGTCCAGGAGGAGGTGCTTTCTGCTGCTGTGTGTCCAGGAGGAGGTGCTATCTGCTGTGTGTCCAGGAGGAGGTGCTATCTGCTGCTGTCCTGCAGGAGGAGGTGCTATCTGCTGCTGTCCTGCAGGAGGAGGTGCTATCTGCTGCTGTGTGTACAGGAGGAGGTGCTATCTGCTGCTGTGTGTCCAGGAGGAGGTGCTATCTGCTGTGTGTCCAGGAGGAGGTGCTTTCTGCTGCTGTGTGTCCAGGAGGAGGTGCTATCTGCTGTGTGTCCAGGAGGAGGTGCTATCTGCTGCTGTCCTGCAGGAGGAGGTGCTATCTGCTGCTGTGTGTACAGGAGGAGGTGCTATCTGCTGCTGTGTGTCCAGGAGGAGGTGCTATCTGCTGCTGTGTGTCCAGGAGGAGGTGCTATCTGCTCTGTGTCCAGGAGGAGGTGCTATCTGCTGCTGTCCTGCAGGAGGAGGTGCTGTCTTCTGTGTGGCCAGGAGGAGGCGCTATCTGCTGTCCTCCAGGAGGAGGTGCTATCTGCTGTCCTCCAGGTCTGTGTCCAGCACTGGGTTCACAAAGCCCTCACACTCAGAATCCAGCTCTAGTCCCTGGACCTGGTCCGGTCCCTTGTCCGGTCCCTTGTCCGGTCCCTTGTCCGGTCCCTTGTCCGGTCCCTGGTCCGGTCCCTGGTCCGGTCCCTTGTCCGGTCCCTTGTCCGGTCCCTTGTCCGGTCCCTTGTCCGGTCCCTGGTCCGGTCCCTTGTCCGGTCCCTTGTCCGGTCCCTGGTCCGGTCCCTGGTCCGGTCCCTGGTCCGGTCCCTTGTCCGGTCCCTTGTCCGGTCCCTTGTCCGGTCCCTTGTCCGGTCCCTTGTCCGGTCCCTTGTCCGGTCCCTTGTCCGGTCCCTTGTCCGGTCCCTTGTCCGGTCCCTTGTCCGGTCCCTGGTCCGGTCCCTGGTCCGGTCCCTGGTCCGGTCCCGGTCTCTGGTCCAGGTCCACAGGGCTTGGGAAGGCGGGGTCCCACTCCAGGGCGGTGTCGTCTGGTGTGGACTGAGGTCCAGGTCTCAGAGCAGCTCGCAGGATGTCCTCCTCTGTACGAGAACGCTCCCACTGAGGGAGGCGCACAATCCCTGAGGACGGAGGACAGAGACTGAGACTAGAGACTGAGACTAGAGACTGAGACTAGAGACTGAGACTAGAGATTGAGGACAGAGACTGAGGACAGAGACTGAGACTAGAGACTGAGACTAGAGACTGAGACTAGAGACTGAGACTAGAGACTGAGACTAGAGACTGAGACTAGAGACTGAGGACAGAGACTGAGGACAGAGACTGAGGACAGAGACTGAGGACAGAGACTGAGGACAGAGACTGAGGACAGAGACTGAGGACAGAGACTGAGACTAGAGACTAGAGACTGAGGACAGAGACTGAGGACAGAGACTAGAGACTGAGGACAGAGACTGAGGACAGAGACTGAGACTAGAGACTGAGGACAGAGACTGAGGACAGAGACTGAGACTAGAGACTGAGGACAGAGACTGAGGACAGAGACTAGAGACTGAGGACAGAGACTGAGGACAGAGACTGAGACTAGAGACTGAGGACAGAGACTGAGGACAGAGACTAGAGACTGAGGACAGAGACTGAGACTAGAGACTGAGGACAGAGACTGAGGACAGAGACTAGAGACTGAGGACAGAGACTGAGGACAGAGACTGAGGACAGAGACTGAGGACAGAGACTGAGGACAGAGACTGAGGACAGAGACTGAGGACAGAGACTGAGGACAGAGACAGTCTCTCTCTGGTCCATACCTTCCTCGTCCTCCCACTCCAAGTCCAGGGAGGTCCCGTCCTCTGTAGACCCGGTCTCTGGTCTCTCTGTAGACCTGGTCTTGGTGTAGTCCCAGCTCAGCTCTGTGTTTGGAGTCGCTGTGGCATCAGATGGAAGTCCTGTGGGGCCGTGTATTTTTCCTTCAATCGTTTTTTCAAATTAAAATTGAAAATGAAATATAAAAAAATGGCTTGAATTTTCATTTTTCATTTTGATATTAATATTCAATGATGCTTTCAGGCCGTTCCCATCCAGACTGCTCTGTGCTGTTCCCATCCAGACTGCTCTGTGCTGTTCCCATCCAGACTGCTCTGTGCTGTTCCCATCCAGACTGCTCTGTGCTGTTCCCATCCAGACTGCTCTGTGCTGTTCCCATCCAGACTGCTCTGTGCTGTTCCCATCCAGACTGCTCTGTGTTGTTCCCATCCAGACTGCTCTGTGCTGTTCCCATCCAGACTGCTCTGTGTTGTTCCCATCCAGACTGCTCTGTGCTGTTCCCATCCAGACTGCTCTGTGCTGTTCCCATCCAGACTGCTCTGTGCTGTTCCCATCCAGACTGCTCTGTGCTGTTCCCATCCAGACTGCTCTGTGTTGTTCCCATCCAGACTGCTCTGTGCTGTTCCCATCCAGACTGCTCTGTGTTGTTCCCATCCAGACTGCTCTGTGTTGTTCCCATCCAGACTGCTCTGTGCTGTTCCCATCCAGACTGCTCTGTGCTGTTCCCATCCAGACTGCTCTGTGCTGTTCCCATCCAGACTGCTCTGTGCTGTTCCCATCCAGACTGCTCTGTGCTGTTCCCATCCAGACTGCTCTGTGCTGTTCCCATCCAGACTGCTCTGTGCTGTTCCCATCCAGACTGCTCTGTGCTGTTCCCATCCAGACTGCTCTGTGTTGTTCCCATCCAGACTGCTCTGTGTTGTTCCCATCCAGACTGCTCTGTGTTGTTCCCATCCAGACTGCTCTGTGTTGTTCCCATCCAGACTGCTCTGTGCTGTTCCCATCCAGACTGCTCTGTGCTGTTCCCATCCAGACTGCTCTGTGCTGTTCCCATCCAGACTGCTCTGTGTTGTTCCCATCCAGACTGCTCTGTGCTGTTCCCATCCAGACTGCTCTGTGCTGTTCCCATCCAGACTGCTCTGTGTTGTTCCCATCCAGACTGCTCTGTGTTGTTCCCATCCAGACTGCTCTGGGCTGTTCCCATCCAGACTGCTCTGTGTTGTTCCCATCCAGACTGCTCTGTGCTGTTCCCATCCAGACTGCTCTGTGTTGTTCCCATCCAGACTGCTCTGTGCTGTTCCCATCCAGACTGCTCTGTGCTGTTCCCATCCAGACTGCTCTGTGTTGTTCCCATCCAGACTGCTCTGTGTTGTTCCCATCCAGACTGCTCTGTGCTGTTCCCATCCAGACTGCTCTGTGCTGTTCCCATCCAGACTGCTCTGTGTTGTTCCCATCCAGACTGCTCTGTGTTGTTCCCATCCAGACTGCTCTGTGTTGTTCCCATCCAGACTGCTCTGTGCTGTTCCCATCCAGACTGCTCTGTGCTGTTCCCATCCAGACTGCTCTGTGTTGTTCCCATCCAGACTGCTCTGTGCTGTTCCCATCCAGACTGCTCTGTGCTGTTCCCATCCAGACTGCTCTGTGTTGTTCCCATCCAGACTGCTCTGTGTTGTTCCCATCCAGACTGCTCTGTGTTGTTCCCATCCAGACTGCTCTGTGCCTGAAAGGATTATTCAATATTTCGTCATCAAAATGAAAAATGAAAATTCAAGCCATTTTTTTATATTTCATTTTCAATCTTAATTTGAAAAAAACGATTGAACGAAAAATACACGGACCCACAGATCACAGGTCAGAGGTCACGGGTCAGTGGTCCCGGGTCAGATGTCACAGGTCAGTGGTCCCGGGTCACAGGTCAGAGGTCACAGGTCAGTGGTCCCGGGTCACAGGTCAGTGGTCCCGGGTCACAGGTCAGAGGTCACAGGTCAGTGGTCACAGGTCAGTGGTCCCGGGTCAGTGGTCCCGGGTCAGATGTCACAGGTCAGTGGTCCCGGGTCACAGGTCACAGGTCAGAGGTCACGGGTCAGTGGTCCCGGGTCAGATGTCACAGGTCAGTGGTCCCGGGTCACAGGTCAGTGGTCCCGGGTCACAGGTCAGTGGTCACAGGTCAGTGGTCCCGGGTCACAGGTCAGAGGTCACAGGTCAGTGGTCACTCACTGTTGCTCCTGAAGGCCTCAGACTGAGCCTTCACTGTCTGCAGATACACCTCAAAGTCCTCTGTTCTCTGTCTGAGGAAACAGAAGAGAGGGTGAGAGGGGAGCGGGAGAGAGGGGTGAGAGAGGGGGAGAGGGAGAGAGAGAGGGAGAGGGAGGTGAGAGGGGTGAGAGAGGAAGAGAGAGAGAGAGAGGGAGGGAGAGAGGGGTGAGAGAGGGGAGAGAGAGGAAGAGAGAGGGGTGAGAGAGGGGAGAGGGAGAGAGGGGTGAGAGAGGAAGAGAGAGGGGTGAGAGAGGAAGAGAGAGGGGTGAGAGAGGAATAGAGAGGGGTGAGAGAGGGGAGAGGGAGAGAGGGGTGAGAGAGGGGGAGAGGAGAGAGAGAGGGGAGAAAGAGGGAGAGAGGGGTGAGAGAGGAAGAGAGAGGGGTGAGAGAGGAATAGAGAGGGGAGAGGGTGAGAGAGGGGGAGAGGGAGAGAGAGAGGGAGAGAGGGGTGAGAGAGGGGGAGAGGGGTGAGAGAGGGGGAGAGAGGGGGTTAGGGGTGAGAGATGGGGTGAGTGGGAGCGGGGGGAGAGGGGGGTAGGGGTGAGAGAGGAAGAGAGGAAGAGAGGGAGAGAGAGGGAAAGAGGGGGAGAGAGGGTATGTTTGTCTGTGTGTAACCTCTGGTCCCTGGTCTCCTCTGTGGCTCCGTCAGCTCGGCCTCTGTTCTTCTGAAACAACAACAGCACAAAGAACATTTTACATGTGTGGATTATTGTCATGGATTATTGTCATGGATTACTGTCATGGATTATTTGGATGGGATTATTGTCATGGATTATTGTCATGGATTATTTGGATGGGATTATTGTCATGGATAATTTAGATGGGATTATGGTCATGGATTATTTGGATCGGATTATTTGGATGGGATTATTGTCATGGGATTATTGTCATGGATTATTTGAATATGATAATTGTAATGTATTATTTGGATGGGATTGTTGTCATGGATTATTTGGATGGGATTATTGTCATGGATTATTGTCATGGATTATTTGGATGGGATTATTGTCATGGAATATTTGGATGGGATTATTGTCATGGAATATTTGGATGGGATTATTGTCATGGAATATTTGGATGGGATTATGGTCATGGATTATTTGGATGGGATTATTGCCATGGAAAATTGTCATGGATTATTTCCATGTATTATTGTCATGTATTATTTGGATGGGATTATTGTCATGGGATTGTCATGGAATATTTGGATGGGATTATTGTCATGGGATTGTCATGGAATATTTGGATGGGATTATTGTCAGGGATTATTGTCATGGAATATTTGGATGGGATTATAGTCATGGAATATTTGGATGGGATTATTGTCATGGAATATTTGGATGAGATTATTGTCATGGAATATTTGGATGGGATTATTTGGATGGAATTATTGTCACGGATTATTGTCATGGATTATTTGGATGGGATTATTGTCATGGATTATTTGGATGGGATTATTGTCAAGGATTATTTGGATGGGATTATTGTCATGGATTATTTGGATGGGATTATTGTCATGGAATATTTGGATGGGATTATTGTCATGGATTATTTGGATGGAATTATTGTCACGGATTATTGTCATGGATTATTTGGATGGGATTATTGTCATGGAATATTTGGATGGGATTATTGTCATGGAATATTTGGATGGGATTGTCATGGGATTGGGGCGAGAGTAGCTCAGTTGGTAGAGCACTGGCCTTTAGGCCTGAAGGTCGTGGGTTCGAGCCCACCATAAGACCTACTTCACGACTCCCACTGATGACTGCTGTCGTTGTGTCCTTGGGCAAGACACTTTAACCCCACTTTGCCTGAAGCCCCCGCTGAAAGATCTCAGCTCCTGTGGACTCACCACCTGCAGGAGGATCAGTGAGGAGCTGGTGCTCTGTGACTGGGTGCAGCTCTGACTGCCACCCCCCTCCCCACCGACCCAGAAATGGATTAAGGGGAAGAAAATGGATGGATGGATGGATGTCATGGGATTGTCATGGAATATTTGGATGGGATTATTGTCACGGGATTGTCATGGAATATTTGGATGGGATTATTGTCACGGGATTGTCATGGATTATTTGGATGGGATTATTGTCACGGATTACTTGGATGGGATTATTGTCATGGAATATTTGGATGGGATTGTCATGGGATTGTCATGGAATATTTGGATGGGATTATTGTCATGGGATTGTCATGGAATATTTGGAGGGGATTATTGTCATGGAATATTTGGATGGGATTATTGTCATGGGTTATTTGGATGGGATTATTGTCACGGATTATTGTCATGGATTATTTGGATGGGATTATTGTCATGGATTATTTGGATGGGATTGTTGTCATGGGATTATTGTCATGGAATATTTGGATGGGATTATTACCATGGATTATAGTCATAGATTATCGCCATGGATTATTGTCATGGGATTATTATCATGTATCATTTGGATGGGATTATAGTCATGGATTATTGTCATGGATTATAGTCATGGATTATTTGGATCGGATTATTGTCATGGATTATTGTCATGGATTATTGTCAAGGATTATTGTCATGTATTATTTGGATGGGATCAATGTCATGGATTACTTGGATGGGATTATAGTCATGGAATATTTGGATGGGATTATTGTCATGGATTTTTTGGATGGGATTATTGTCATGGATTATTTAGATGGGATTATTGTAATGTATTTGGATGGGATTATTGCCATGGATTATTTGGATGGGATTATTGCCATGAATTATTTGGATGGGATTATTGTGATGGATTATTTAGATGGGATTATTGTCATGTATTATTTGGATGGGATTATTGTCATTAATTATTTGGATGGGATTATTGTCATTAATTATTTGGATGGGTCAGTGTATTTGAGCAGCAGCTGTAAATCCACAGATTTCAGTTGTTTCCATCTGTCCCACAAACACAATTCAATCAAAGAAAATAATATAAATAAATGAACCAAGGTCCAACACAGGAGCAGTGGGGTTAGGGGTCAGAGGTCAGAGGAAGATGAGGGTTAGAGGTCAGATTATTATAGAGAAGGATTACGGTGGCTGAGTGGTTAGCACTCTCACTACTCAGCAACAAGGTTTTGGGTTCAAATCCCGGTCGGAACAGAGTCTTTCTGAGTTTGCATTTTCTCCCCGTGTCTTCGTAGGTTTCCTCCGGGTACTCCGGGTTCCCCTACCACTAGAAACATGTACAATAGTTCAGGGTGAATGAGTCTGTGCTTGTGAGTGTGAATGTGGGACATCCATCCATCCATTTTCTTCCCATTAACTCATTAACTGTCATTGATGTCTATAGACGTCAATCTAAATCCAAACGTTCACTGCCAATGACTTCTATAGACGTCAATGGATTTTTTTCAGTTTTTTCTTTCTTTCTATGGCTCGTCAAGGCTCTTTTGCATCCTGTGTAAACATTTCAGACCTGTAAACGCTTTGGAACCGATCCTGTAGGGGGCAGAGGTGACACTGTGGCAAGATCAGGGGAGGGAGGAGGGGGCAACTAGTGCTGTAAGCGGGTAACAGCCAGAGGAGCAGCCATGCTTAGACGAAAGGACCGCGGATCTGAGAAGCTCACGCAGCTAACGCTGTTTGAGAGCCTGTTCAGTCACAGATAAATATGAAGCAGCTCGATGCCACGATGCTAGTTCCAGACGAGAATTGCTTCCCCCTCCTTCCCTCGCTTCCTCCTCATCCAGCAGCAGCCGCACCTCCTCCCCCGTTCAATACAGTGCCTTGCGAAAGTATTCGGCCCCATTGAACCTTTCAACATTTCGCCACATTTCGGGCTTCTAACATAAAGATATAAAAATTTATTTTTTGGATAATTCAAACTTAAATAAAAAACTGAAAAGTGGGGCGTGCAATATTATTCGGCCCCCTTGCGCTAATACTTTGTAGCGCCACCTTTTGCTGCAATTACAGCTGCAAGTCGCTTGGGGTATGTCTCTATCAGTTTTGCACATCGAGAGACTGGAATTCTTGCCCATTCTTCCTTGCAAAACAGCTGGAGCTCAGTGAGGTTGGATGGAGAGCGTTTGTGAACAGCAGTCTTCAGCTCTTTCCACAGATTCTGGATTGGATTCAGGTCTGGACTTTGACTTGGCCATTCTAACACCTGGATACGTCTATTTGTGAACCATTCCATTGTAGATTTGGCTTTATGTTTTGGATCATTGTCCTGTTGGAAGATAAATCTCCGTCCCAGTCTCAGGTCTTTTGCAGACTCCAACAGGTTTTCTTCCAGAATGGTCCTGTATTTGGCTCCATCCATCTTCCCATCAATTTTAGCCATCTTCCCTGTCCCTGCTGAAGAAAAGCAGGCCCAAAGCATGATGCTGCCACCACCATGTTTGACAGTGGGGATGGTGTGTTCAGGGTGATGAGCTGTGTTGCTTTTACGCCAAACATATCGTTTTGCATTGTGGCCAAAAAGTTTGATTTTGGTTTCATCTGACCAGAGCACCTTCTTCCACATGTTTGGTGTGTCTCCCAGGTGGCTTGTGGCAAACTTTAAACCAGACTTTTTATGGATATCTTTGAGAAATGGCTTTCTTCTTGCCACTCTTCCATAAAGGCCAGATTTGTGCAGTGCACGACTGATTGTTGTCCTATGGACAGACTCTCCCACCTCAGCTGTAGTTATCTGCAGTTCATCCAGAGTGATCATGGGCCTCTTGGCTGCATCTCTGATCAGTCTTCTCCTTGTTTGAGATGAAAGTTTGGAGGGACGGTCTTGGTAGAGTTGCAGTGGTCTGATACTCCTTCCATTTCAATATAATTGCTTGCACAATGCTCCTTGAGATGTTTAAAGCTTGGGAAATCTTTTTGTATCCAAATCCGGCTTTAAACTTCTCCACAACAGTATCTCGGACCTGCCTGGTGTGTTCCTTTGTCTTCATGGTTCTCTCTGTGCTTTAAACAGAACCCTGAGACTATCAAAGAGCAGGTGCATTTATACGGAGACTTGATTACACACAGGTGCATTCTATTTATCATCATCAGTCATTTAGGACAACATTGGATCATTCAAAGATCCTCACTGAACTTCTGGACTGAGTTTGCTGCACTGAAAGTAAAGGGGCCCAATAATATTGCACGCCCCACTTTTCAGTTTTTTATTTGTTAAAAAAGTTTAAATTATCCAATAAATTTCGTTCCACTTCACGATTGTGTCCCACTTGTTGTTGATTCATGACAAAAAATAAAATTTTTATATCTTTATGTTTGAAGCCTGAAATGTGGCGAAAGGTTGAAAGGTTCAAGGGGGCCGAATACTTTCGCAAGGCACTGTATATTAAAGAGTACCGAGTACTAGAGTAGTACCTCTGAGGCCATGCGAGCCCGTGCGGCCCGGGCCTCCTCCCTCTGGGCCTCATGCTGAGTATACAGAGTACTAGAGTATAGAGTATATATTAAAGAGTACTGAGTACTAGAGTAGTACCTCTGAGGCCATGCGAGCCCGTGCGGCCCGGGCCTCCTCCCTCTGGGCCTCATGCTGAGTATACAGAGTACTAGAGTATAGCGTATATATTAAAGAGTACTGAGTACTAGAGTAGTACCTCTGAGGCCATGCGAGCCCGTGCGGCCCGGGCCTCCTCCCTCTGGGCCTCATGCTGAGTATACAGAGTACTAGAGTATAGAGTATATATTAAAGAGTACTGAGTACTAGAGTAGTACCTCTGAGGCCATGCGAGCCCGTGCGGCCCGGGCCTCCTCCCTCTGGGCCTCATGCTGAGTATACAGAGTACTAGAGTATAGAGTATATATTAAAGAGTACTGAGTACTAGAGTAGTACCTCTGAGGCCATGCGAGCCCGTGCGGCCCGGGCCTCCTCCCTCTGGGCCTTATGCTGAGTATACAGAGTACTAGAGTATAGAGTATATATTAAAGAGTACTGAGTACTAGAGTAGTACCTCTGAGGCCATGCGAGCCCGTGCGGCCCGGGCCTCCTCCCTCTGGGCCTCATGCTGAGTATACAGAGTACTAGAGTATAGAGTATATATTAAAGAGTACTGAGTACTAGAGTAGTACCTCTGAGGCCATGCGAGCCCGTGCGGCCCGGGCCTCCTCCCTCTGGGCCTCATGCTGAGTATACAGAGTACTAGAGTATAGAGTATATATTAAAGAGTACTGAGTACTAGAGTAGTACCTCTGAGGCCATGCGAGCCCGTGCGGCCCGGGCCTCCTCCCTCTGGGCCTCATGCTGAGTATACAGAGTACTAGAGTATAGAGTATATATTAAAGAGTACTGAGTACTAGAGTAGTACCTCTGAGGCCATGCGAGCCCGTGCGGCCCGGGCCTCCTCCCTCTGGGCCTCATGCTGAGTATACAGAGTACTAGAGTATAGAGTATATATTAAAGAGTACTGAGTACTAGAGTAGTACCTCTGAGGCCATGCGAGCCCGTGCGGCCCGGGCCTCCTCCCTCTGGGCCTCATGCTGAGTATACAGAGTACTAGAGTATAGAGTATATATAAAGAGTACTGAGTACTAGAGTAGTACCTCTGAGGCCATGCGAGCCCGTGCGGCCCGGGCCTCCTCCCTCTGGGCCTCATGCTGAGTATACAGAGTACTAGAGTATAGAGTATATATTAAAGAGTACTGAGTACTAGAGTAGTACCTCTGAGGCCATGCGAGCCCGTGCGGCCCGGGCCTCCTCCCTCTGGGCCTCATGCTGAGTATACAGAGTACTAGAGTATAGAGTATATATTAAAGAGTACTGAGTACTAGAGTAGTACCTCTGAGGCCATGCGAGCCCGTGCGGCCCGGGCCTCCTCCCTCTGGGCCTCATGCTGAGTATACAGAGTGCTAGAGTATAGAGTATATATTAAAGAGTACTGAGTACTAGAGTAGTACCTCTGAGGCCATGCGAGCCCGTGCGGCCCGGGCCTCCTCCCTCTGGGCCTCATGCTGAGTATACAGAGTACTAGAGTATAGAGTATATATTAAAGAGTACTGAGTACTAGAGTAGTACCTCTGAGGCCATGCGAGCCCGTGCGGCCCGGGCCTCCTCCCTCTGGGCCTCATGCTGAGTATACAGAGTACTAGAGTATAGAGTATATATTAAAGAGTACTGAGTACTAGAGTAGTACCTCTGAGGCCATGCGAGCCCGTGCGGCCCGGGCCTCCTCCCTCTGGGCCTCATGCTGAGTATACAGAGTACTAGAGTATAGAGTATATATTAAAGAGTACTGAGTACTAGAGTAGTACCTCTGAGGCCATGCGAGCCCGTGCGGCCCGGGCCTCCTCCCTCTGGGCCTCATGCTGAGTATACAGAGTACTAGAGTATAGAGTATATATTAAAGAGTACTGAGTACTAGAGTAGTACCTCTGAGGCCATGCGAGCCCGTGCGGCCCGGGCCTCCTCCCTCTGGGCCTCATGCTGAGTATACAGAGTACTAGAGTATAGAGTATATATTAAAGAGTACTGAGTACTAGAGTAGTACCTCTGAGGCCATGCGAGCCCGTGCGGCCCGGGCCTCCTCCCTCTGGGCCTCATGCTGAGTATACAGAGTACTAGAGTATAGAGTATATATTAAAGAGTACTGAGTACTAGAGTAGTACCTCTGAGGCCATGCGAGCCCGTGCGGCCCGGGCCTCCTCCCTCTGGGCCTCATGCTGAGTATACAGAGTACTAGAGTATAGAGTATATATTAAAGAGTACTGAGTACTAGAGTAGTACCTCTGAGGCCATGCGAGCCCGTGCGGCCCGGGCCTCCTCCCTCTGGGCCTCATGCTGAGTATACAGAGTACTAGAGTATAGAGTATATATTAAAGAGTACTGAGTACTAGAGTAGTACCTCTGAGGCCATGCGAGCCCGTGCGGCCCGGGCCTCCTCCCTCTGGGCCTCATGCTGAGTATACAGAGTACTAGAGTATAGAGTATATATTAAAGAGTACTGAGTACTAGAGTAGTACCTCTGAGGCCATGCGAGCCCGTGCGGCCCGGGCCTCCTCCCTCTGGGCCTCATGCTGAGTATACAGAGTACTAGAGTATAGAGTATATATTAAAGAGTACTGAGTACTAGAGTAGTACCTCTGAGGCCATGCGAGCCCGTGCGGCCCGGGCCTCCTCCCTCTGGGCCTCATGCTGAGTATACAGAGTACTAGAGTATAGAGTATATATTAAAGAGTACTGAGTACTAGAGTAGTACCTCTGAGGCCATGCGAGCCCGTGCGGCCCGGGCCTCCTCCCTCTGGGCCTCATGCTGAGTATACAGAGTACTAGAGTATAGAGTATATATTAAAGAGTACTGAGTACTAGAGTAGTACCTCTGAGGCCATGCGAGCCCGTGCGGCCCGGGCCTCCTCCCTCTGGGCCTCATGCTGAGTATACAGAGTACTAGAGTATAGAGTATATATTAAAGAGTACTGAGTACTAGAGTAGTACCTCTGAGGCCATGCGAGCCCGTGCGGCCCGGGCCTCCTCCCTCTGGGCCTCATGCTGAGTATACAGAGTACTAGAGTATAGAGTATATATTAAAGAGTACTGAGTACTAGAGTAGTACCTCTGAGGCCATGCGAGCCCGTGCGGCCCGGGCCTCCTCCCTCTGGGCCTCATGCTGAGTATACAGAGTACTAGAGTATAGAGTATATATTAAAGAGTACTGAGTACTAGAGTAGTACCTCTGAGGCCATGCGAGCCCGTGCGGCCCGGGCCTCCTCCCTCTGGGCCTCATGCTGAGTATACAGAGTGCTAGAGTATAGAGTATATATTAAAGAGTACTGAGTACTAGAGTAGTACCTCTGAGGCCATGCGAGCCCGTGCGGCCCGGGCCTCCTCCCTCTGGGCCTCATGCTGAGTATACAGAGTACTAGAGTATAGAGTATATATTAAAGAGTACTGAGTACTAGAGTAGTACCTCTGAGGCCATGCGAGCCCGTGCGGCCCGGGCCTCCTCCCTCTGGGCCTCATGCTTGGCCTCTTCTTCTAGTCTTAAACGTTCCTCTTGTGCCTCTAACTACAGCAAACATAACAAAAGGAAAAAAGCAAATTATTCAAACAAAAACTGAAGCAAACAACTCAAAATGATCAAAGGTCAAAGGTGAAGCACGAGGGGGCGGGGCTAACCTCCTGTTGGAGCCGCTGGTCGATCTGCAGCTGTGTCTGCGACAGCGCCACATAGTGGTGTGAGCGCAGGTACTGCAACTCATCCTCACTGATGGGTCTGAGGACACAGAGACATGTGAGGACAGAGAGACATGTGAGGACAGAGACATGTGAGGACAGAGACATGTGAGGACACAGAGACATGTGAGGACACAGAGACATGTGAGGACACAGACATGTGAGGACACAGAGACATGTGAGGACACGGAGACATGTGAGGACACGGAGACATGTGAGGACAGACATGTGAGGACAGACATGTGAGGACACAGAGACATGTGAGGACACAGAGACATGTGAGGACACAGACATGTGAGGACACAGAGACATGTGAGGACACAGAGACATGTGAGGACACGGAGACATGTGAGGACACGGAGACATGTGAGGACAGACATGTGAGGACAGACATGTGAGGACACAGAGACATGTGAGGACACAGAGACATGTGAGGACACAGACATGTGAGGACACAGAGACATGTGAGGACACAGAGACATGTGAGGACAGACATGTGAGGACACAGACATGTGAGGACACGGAGACATGTGAGGACACAGACATGTGAGGACAGACATGTGAGGACACGGAGACATGTGAGGACAGACATGTGAGGACACAGAGACATGTGAGGACAGACATGTGAGGACACGGAGACATGTGAGGACAGACATGTGAGGACACAGAGACATGTGAGGACACGGAGACATGTGAGGACACAGAGACATGTGAGGACAGACATGTGAGGACAGACATGTGAGGACACAGAGACATGTGAGGACACAGAGACATGTGAGGACAGACATGTGAGGACACAGAGACATGTGAGGACACAGAGACATGTGAGGACACAGAGACATGTGAGGACAGAGACATGTGAGGACAGACATGTGAGGACACGGAGACATGTGAGGACAGAGACATGTGAGGACACGGAGACATGTGAGGACACGGAGACATGGGAGGACACGGAGACATGTGAGGACAGAGACATGTGAGGACACGGAGACATGTGAGGACACGGAGACATGCGAGGACACTGAGACATTCGAGGACACGGAGACATGTGAGGACACAGAGACATGTGAGGACAGAGACATGTGAGGACACAGAGACATGTGAGGACACAGAGACATGTGAGGACACAGAGACATGTGAGGACAGAGACATGTGAGGACACAGAGACATGTGAGGACACAGAGACATGTGAGGACACAGAGACATGTGAGGACAGAGACATGTGAGGACACAGAGACATGTGAGGACACAGAGACATGTGAGGACACAGAGACATGTGAGGACAGAGACATGTGGGGACATGTCTAAGTTAGAGTTACCTGGACATGTCTAAGTTAGAGTTACCTGGACATGTCTAAGTTAGAGTTACCTGGACATGTCTAAGTTAGAGTTACCTGGACAATCTAAGTTAGAGTTACCTGGACATGTCTAAGTTAGAGTTACCTGGACAATCTAAGTTAGAGTTACCTGGACATGTCTAAGTTAGAGTTACCTGGGACAGGGCAGTGGACTCTCTCGTTCCTGAAAACAGATTTATATTAATAGTGCAGTGACCTCTGACCTCTGACCTTGTCCTCAGTCACTCACCTCCTCCTCCTCCTCACTGTCCACCAGGTTCTCAAACTGCAACAGAGAAGAGTTTAGTGTGTGTGTCCGTGTGTGTGTGTCAGTGTGTGTCAGTGTGTGTGTGTCAGTGTGTGTCAGTGTGTGTGTGTCAGTATGTGTCTATGTGTGTGTGTCAGTGTGTGTGTGTCAGTGTGTGTGTCCGTGTGTGTGTGTCAGTGTGTGTCAGTGTGTGTGTGTCAGTGTGTGTGTCCGTGTGTGTCAGTGTGTGTGTGTCAGTGTGTGTGTCCGTGTGTGTGTGTCAGTGTGTGTCAGTGTGTGTGTGTCAGTGTGTGTGTCCGTGTGTGTCTATGTGTCAGTGTGTGTCAGTGTGTGTGTCCGTGTGTGTGTCCGTGTGTGTACCTCTATAGTGTAGTGCTCCCCACAGCTGCTGCCAAAGTATTTGGATCTGAGGGACAGAGACACAGGCTTTAGTCCTGCTCTAATACTATATTATACATGTGAGGACAGAGACATGTGAGGACAGAGACATGTGAGGACAGAGACATGTGAGGACAGAGACATGTGAGGACAGAGACATGTGAGGACAGAGACATGTGAGGACAGAGACATGTGAGGACAGAGACATGTGAGGACAGAGACATGCGAGGACAGAGACATGCGAGGACAGAGACATGCGAGGACAGAGACATGCGAGGACAGAGACATGCGAGGACAGAGACATGCGAGGACACAGAGACATGTGAGGACAGAGACATGTGAGGACAGAGACATGTGAGGACAGAGACATGTGAGGACAGAGACATGTGAGGACAGAGACATGTGAGGACAGAGACATGCGAGGACACAGAGACATGCGAGGACAGAGACATGTGAGGACAGAGACATGTGAGGACAGAGACATGTGAGGACAGAGACATGTGAGGACACAGAGACATGTGAGGACAGAGACATGTGAGGACAGAGACATGTGAGGACAGAGACATGTGAGGACAGAGACATGCGAGGACAGAGACATGGAGGACAGAGACATGTGAGGACAGAGACATGTGAGGACAGAGACATGTGAGGACAGAGACATGTGAGGACAGAGACATGTGAGGACAGAGACATGTGAGGACACAGAGACATGTGAGGACAGAGACATGTGAGGACAGAGACATGTGAGGACACAGAGACATGTGAGGACAGAGACATGTGAGGACAGAGACATGTGAGGACACAGAGACATGTGAGGACAGAGACATGTGAGGACAGAGACATGTGAGGACAGAGACATGAGAGGACAGAGACATGCGAGGACAGAGACATGCGAGGACAGAGACATGCGAGGACACAGAGACATGTGAGGACAGAGACATGTGAGGACAGAGACATGTGAGGACAGAGACATGTGAGGACAGAGACATGTGAGGACACAGAGACATGCGAGGACAGAGACATGTGAGGACAGAGACATGTGAGGACAGAGACATGTGAGGACAGAGACATGTGAGGACACAGAGACATGTGAGGACAGAGACATGTGAGGACAGAGACATGTGAGGACAGAGACATGTGAGGACAGAGACATGCGAGGACAGAGACATGCGAGGACAGAGACATGTGAGGACAGAGACATGTGAGGACAGAGACATGTGAGGACAGAGACATGTGAGGACAGAGACATGTGAGGACAGAGACATGTGAGGACACAGAGACATGTGAGGACAGAGACATGTAAGGACACAGAGACATGTGAGGACAGAGACATGTGAGGACAGAGACATGTGAGGACACAGAGACATGTGAGGACAGAGACATGTGAGGACAGAGACATGTGAGGACAGAGACATGTGAGGACAGAGACATGTGAGGACACAGAGACACAGGCTTTAGTCCTGCTCTAATATCACATAAACACACACTATATTATACATGTATGTAATGTATATACACACATATACATATAATGTTATGAATGTTATTAGCTGTAAAATGCAGTGTCCAGTATATATACACAGCCTATGTGTCCTGTAATATATATATATATATATATATATATATATATATATACACACAGCCTATGTGTCCTGTATATATAATATATATATATATAATATATATATATATATATATATATATACACAGCCTATGTGTCCTGTATATATATATATATATATATATATATATATATATATACACAGCCTATGTGTCCTGTATATATATATATATATATATATATATATATATATATATACACAGCCTATGTGTCCTGTATATATATATATATATATATATATATATATATATATATATATATATACACAGCCTATGTGTCCTGTATATATATATATATATATATATATATATATACACAGCCTATGTGTCCTGTATATATATATATATATATATATATATATATATACACACAGCCTATGTGTCCTGTATATATAATATATATATATATATATATATATATATATATATACAGGACACATAGGCTGTGTATATATATATATATATATATATATATATATATATATATATATATATATATACAGGACACATAGGCTGTGTATATATATATATATATATATATATATATATATATATAGCAATAGCCGCTGATAGCGTTAGCTCCAGGGACTCTGTAATCTTGGCGTTTCGTCCGCACAGGATCCTTCCCTCTTCCGCATCCTAAACAAACCAAAATTACTGTCTCTAACACGAAATCTAACTTCCACTCAAATGTGAAATTAGAATGAATGAATGGGAACACATCTGTGATATTTTCCACAGCCCAGGACGAAATACCAAGTGGGCTCCGGAGCTTGCAGTGGGTCGTGTGTCATCTCTTACCCGCCTCCTCGGTGCAGTCTCCCGGACTCCCTGCGGAACAAGCCCGCGCAGTAGGACCAGCAGGCTCCCATCGCATGGTTAGAGAGGGCCAGAGAGGGCCAGAGAGAGCCAGAGAGGGTCACAGAGAGCCAGAGAGGGTCAGAGAGAGCCAGAGAGAGCCAGAGAGGGCCACAGAGAGCCAGAGAGGGTCAGAGAGAGCCAGAGAGAGCCAGAGAGAGCCAGAGAGAGCCAGAGAGGGCCAGAGAGGGCCAGAGAGAGCCAGAGAGGGTCAGAGAGAGTCAGAGAGAGCCAGAGAGAGCCAGAGAGAGTCAGAGAGGGCCACAGAGAGCCAGAGAGGGTCAGAGAGAGCCAGAGAGAGCCAGAGAGAGCCAGAGAGAGCCAGAGAGAGCCAGAGAGAGTCAGAGAGAGCCAGAGAGAGCCAGAGAGAGCCAGAGAGAGCCAGAGAGAGCCAGAGAGGGCCAGAGAGAGCCAGAGAGAGTCAGAGAGAGCCAGAGAGAGCCAGAGAGAGCCAGAGAGAGCCAGAGAGAGTCAGAGAGAGCCAGAGAGAGCCAGAGAGAGCCAGAGAGAGCCAGAGAGGGTCAGAGAGAGCCAGAGAGGGCCACAGAGTCAGAGAGAGTCAGAGAGAGCCAGAGAGAGCCAGAGCAGGTGGAGACACCATGTCGAAGGACGCTTCCTGGTTCTACTCAGGGCAAATGTCGCCCTCAAGTGGACTCCATGGGAACTGCTGTTATTTTAGGACCATGAACTTTCAAACATGTCTGATTGAGTCAAGAATAGAACTAAGCTCGAGTCATGAACATTTTCCATCAAGGTTTTTATTCATTTCAACTGATCCAGATAATAACTGTTTATTCATGATTTACTGTCAAGGGTTAAGTTCAGTTAGTCCTGCTTTAGTCCTGCTTTAGTCCTGCTTTAGTCCTGCTTTAGTCCTGCTTTAGTCCTGCTTAAGACCTGCTTAAGTCCTGCTTTAGTCCTGCTTTAGTCCTGCTTTAGTCCTGCTTTAGTCCTGCTTTAGTCCTGCTTTAGTCCTGCTTTAGTCCTGCTTCAGACCTGCTTCAGTCCTGCTTTAGTCCTGCTTTAGTCCTGCTTTAGTCCTGCTTTAGTCCTGCTTCAGACCTGCTTCAGTCCTGCTTCAGACCTGCTTCAGTCCTGCTTCAGTCCTGCTTCAGACCTGCTTCAGTCCTGCTTTAGTCCTGCTTTAGTCCTGCTTTAGACCTGCTTTAGACCTGCTTTAGTCCTGCTTTAGTCCTGCTTTAGTCCTGCTTTAGTCCTGCTTTAGACCTGCTTTAGACCTGCTTTAGTCCTGCTTTAGTCCTGCTTTAGTCCTGCTTTAGTCCTGCTTTAGTCCTGCTTTAGACCTGCTTTAGACCTGCTTTAGTCCTGCTTTAGTCCTGCTTTAGTCCTGCTTTAGTCCTGCTTTAGTCCTGCTTTAGTCCTGCTTCAGACCTGCTTCAGTCCTGCTTCAGACCTGCTTCAGTCCTGCTTCAGTCCTGCTTCAGACCTGCTTCAGTCCTGCTTTAGTCCTGCTTTAGTCCTGCTTTAGACCTGCTTTAGACCTGCTTTAGTCCTGCTTTAGTCCTGCTTTAGTCCTGCTTTAGTCCTGCTTTAGACCTGCTTTAGTCCTGCTTTAGTCCTGCTTTAGTCCTGCTTTAGTCCTGCTTTAGTCCTGCTTTAGACCTGCTTTAGTCCTGCTTTAGTCCTGCTTTAGTCCTGCTTTAGTCCTGCTTTAGACCTGCTTTAGTCCTGCTTTAGTCCTGCTTTAGACCTGCTTTAGACCTGCTTTAGTCCTGCTTTAGTCCTGCTTTAGTCCTGCTTTAGTCCTGCTTTAGACCTGCTTTAGACCTGCTTTAGTCCTGCTTTAGACCTGCTTTAGACCTGCTTTAGTCCTGCTTTAGACCTGCTTTAGTCCTGCTTTAGTCCTGCTTTAGTCCTGCTTTAGTCCTGCTTTAGACCTGCTTTAGTCCTGCTTTAGTCCTGCTTTAGACCTGCTTTAGTCCTGCTTTAGTCCTGCTTTAGTCCTGCTTTAGTCCTGCTTTAGACCTGCTTTAGTCCTGCTTTAGTCCTGCTTTAGACCTGCTTTAGTCCTGCTTTAGTCCTGCTTTAGACCTGCTTTAGTCCTGCTTTAGACCTGCTTTAGTCCTGCTTTAGACCTGCTTTAGTCCTGCTTTAGACCTGCTTTAGTCCTGCTTTAGACCTGCTTTAGACCTGCTTTAGACCTGCTTTAGTCCTGCTTTAGACCTGCTTTAGTCCTGCTTTAGACCTGCTTTAGACCTGCTTTAGACCTGCTTTAGTCCTGCTTTAGACCTGCTTTAGTCCTGCTTTAGACCTGCTTTAGACCTGCTTTAGACCTGCTTTAGTCCTGCTTTAGACCTGCTTTAGACCTGCTTTAGTCCTGCTTTAGTCAGACTCGTCGGAGGGGAACAGGTATCTCCTGGTCTCTTCTTCGTCTCTTGACCCGGTCTCTTTAGACTCTGGGACCTTCTGGACCGTGGGGACAAACTTGGGCGTGGGCTTCTTCTTTAGCTGAAACAGACACAAGGTGGAGACCAGGTGGAGATCAGGTGGTGACCAGGTGGAGACCAGGTGGTGACCAGGTGGTGACCAGGTGGAGACCAGGTGGAAACCAGGTGGTGACCAGGTGGAGACCAGGTGGTGACCAGGTGGAACCCAGGTGGTGACCAGGTGGTGACCAGGTGGAAACCAGGTGGTGACCAGGTGGAGACCAGGTGGTGACCAGGTGGAGACCAGGTGGAGACCAGGTGGAGACCAGGTGGTGACCAGGTGGTGACCAGGTGGAAACCAGGTGGTGACCAGGTGAAAGTCTCACCACTTTCTTGGGTTCCTCCAGAGATCTTTCCAGATACCTCCTCATTCTCTCCTTCTGCTTCTGCTGCTGCTCACGAAGCTTCTCCTCACGCTGCCTGCAATTCATATTAATGTATTCATACATGACACCCTCACCCCTCTGACTCACCCCCACCTCTCTGACTCACCCCCACCTCTCTGACTCACCCCCACCCCTCTGACTCACCCCCACCTCTCTGACTCACCCCCACCTCTCTGACTCACCCCCACCTCTCTGACTCACCCCCACCTCTCTGACTCACCCCCACCTCTCTGACTCACCCCCACCTCTCTGACTCACCCTCACCTCTCTGACTCACCCCCACCTCTCTGACTCACCCCCACCTCTCTGACTCACCCCCACCTCTCTGACTCACCCTCACCTCTCTGACTCACCCTCACCTCTCTGACTCACCTCACCCTCTGACTCACCCTCACCCCTCTGACTCACCCTCACCTCTCTGACTCACCCTCACCTCTCTGACTCACCCTCACCCCTCTGACTCACCCTCACCTCTCTGACTCACCCTCACCTCTCTGACTCACCCCCACCTCTCTGACTCACCCTCACATCTCTGACTCACCCTCACCCCTCTGACTCACCCTCACCTCTCTGACTCACCCCCACCTCTCTGACTCACCCTCACCTCTCTGACTCACCCCCACCCCTCTGACTCACCCCCACCTCTCTGACTCACCCCCACCTCTCTGACTCACCCTCACCTCTCTGACTCACCCCCACCCCTCTGACTCACCCCCACCTCTCTGACTCACCCCCACCTCTCTGACTCACCCTCACCTCTCTGACTCACCCTCACCTCTCTGACTCACCCCCACCTCTCTGACTCACCTCTCTGACTCACCCCCACCTCTCTGACTCACCCTCACCTCTCTGACTCACCCTCACCCCTCTGACTCACCCTCACCTCTCTGACTCACCCTCACCTCTCTGACTCACCCTCACCTCTCTGACTCACCCTCACCTCTCTGACTCACCCTCACCTCTCTGACTCACCCTCACCTCTCTGACTCACCCTCACCTCTCTGACTCACCCCCACCTCTCTGACTCACCCCCACCCCTCTGACTCACCCTTACCTCTCTGACTCACCCTCACCCCTCTGACTCACCCTCACCTCTCTGACTCACCCCCACCTCTCTGACTCACCCTCACCTCTCTGACTCACCCTCACCTCTCTGACTCACCCCCACATCTCTGACTCACCCTCACCTCTCTGACTCACCTCCACCTCTCTGACTCACCCTCACCTCTTTGACTCACCCCCACCTCTCTGACTCACCCCCACCTCTTTGACTCACCCCCACCTCTCTGACTCACCCCCACCTCTCTGACTCACCCCCACCCCTCTGACTCACCCCTACCTCTCTGACTCACCCTCACATCTCTGACTCACCCTCACCTCTCTGACTCACCCTCACCTCTCTGACTCACCCTCACCTCTCTGACTCACCCCCACCTCTCTGACTCACCCCCACCTCTCTGACTCACCCTCACCTCTCTGACTCACCCTCACCTCTCTGACTCACCCTCACATCTCTGACTCACCCTCACCTCTCTGACTCACCCTCACCTCTCTGACTCACCCCCACCTCTCTGACTCACCCTCACATCTCTGACTCACCCTCACCTCTCTGACTCACCCTCACCTCTCTGACTCACCCCCACCTCTCTGACTCACCCTCACCTCTCTGACTCACCCCCACCCCTCTGACTCACCCCCACCTCTCTGACTCACCCTCACCTCTCTGACTCACCCTCACATCTCTGACTCACCCTCACCTCTCTGACTCACCCCCACCCCTCTGACTCACCCCCACCTCTCTGATTCACCCCCACCTCTCTGACTCACCCTCACCTCTCTGACTCACCCTCACATCTCTGACTCACCCTCACATCTCTGACTCACCCCCACCTCTCTGACTCACCCTCACATCTCTGACTCACCCTCACATCTCTGACTCACCCTCACCTCTCTGACTCACCCTCACCTCTCTGACTCACCCCCACCTCTCTGACTCACCCTCACATCTCTGACTCACCCTCACCTCTCTGACTCACCCTCACCTCTCTGACTCACCCCCACCTCTCTGACTCACCCTCACCTCTCTGACTCACCCCCACCCCTCTGACTCACCCCCACCTCTCTGACTCACCCCCACCTCTCTGACTCACCCTCACCTCTCTGACTCACCCTCACATCTCTGACTCACCCTCACATCTCTGACTCACCCCCACCTCTCTGACTCACCCTCACATCTCTGACTCACCCTCACATCTCTGACTCACCCTCACCTCTCTGACTCACCCTCACCTCTCTGACTCACCCCCACCTCTCTGATTCACCCTCACATCTCTGACTCACCCTCACCTCTCTGACTCACCCTCACCTCTCTGACTCACCCCCACCTCTCTGACTCACCCCCACCTCTCTGACTCACCCTCACCTCTCTGACTCACCCCCACCTCTCTGACTCACCCCCACCTCTCTGACTCACCCCCACCTCTCTGACTCACCCCCACCTCTCTGACTCACCCCCACCTCTCTGACTCACCCTCACATCTCTGACTCACCTCTCTGACTCACCCTCACCTCTCTGACTCACCCTCACCTCTCTGACTCACCCTCACCTCTCTGACTCACCCTCACCTCTCTGACTCACCCCCACCTCTCTGACTCACCCCCACCTCTCTGACTCACCCTCACCTCTCTGACTCACCCCCACCTCTCTGACTCACCCTCACCTCTCTGACTCACCCCCTTCTCTCTGACTCACCCTCACCGACTCACCCTCACCTCTCTGACTCACCCTCACATCTCTGACTCACCCCCACCTCTCTGACTCACCCTCACCTCTCTGACTCACCCTCACATCTCTGACTCACCCTCACATCTCTGACTCACCCCCACATCTCTGACTCACCCTCACATCTCTGACTCACCCTCACATCTCTGACTCACCCTCACCGACTCACCCTCACCTCTCTGACTCACCCTCACATCTCTGAACTCACCCCCACCTCTCTGACTCACCCTCACCTCTCTGACTCACCCTCACATCTCTGACTCACCCTCACCTCTCTGACTCACCCTCACCTCTCTGACTCACCCTCACCTCTCTGACTCACCCTCACATCTCTGACTCACCCTCACATCTCTGACTCACCCTCACATCTCTGACTCACCCTCACCTCTCTGACTCACCCTCACATCTCTGACTCACCCCCACATCTCTGACTCACCCTCACCTCTCTGACTCACCCCCTTCTCTCTGACTCACCCTCACCTCTCTGACTCACCCCCTTCTCTCTGACTCACCCTCACATCTCTGATTCACCCTCACCTGACTCACCCTCACCTCTCTGACTCACCCTCACATCTCTGACTCACCCCCACCTCTCTGATTCACCCTCACCTCTCTGACTCACCCTCACATCTCAGACTCACCCTCACATCTCTGACTCACCCTCACATCTCTGACTCACCCTCACATCTCTGACTCACCCTCACATCTCTGACTCACCCCCACCTCTCTTACTCACCCTCACCTCTCTGACTCACCCTCACCTCTCTGACTCACCCCCACCTCTCTGACTCACCCTCACATCTCTGACTCACCCTCACATCTCTGACTCACCCCCACCTCTCTTACTCACCCTCACCTCTCTGACTCACCCTCACCTCTCTGACTCACCCCCACCTCTCTGACTCACCCTCACATCTCTGACTCACCCTCACCTCTCTGACTCACCCCCACCTCTCTGACTCACCCTCACATCTCTGACTCACCCTCACCTCTCTGACTCACCCTCACATCTCTGACTCACCCTCACCTCTCTGACTCACTCTCACATCTCTGACTCACCCTCACCTCTCTGACTCACCCCCACATCTCTGACTCACCCCCACCTCTCTGACTCACCCTCACCTCTCTGACTCACCCTCACCTCTCTGACTCACCCCCACCTCTCTGACTCACCCTCACCTCTCTGACTCACCCCCACATCTCTGACTCACCCTCACCTCTCTGACTCACCCTCACGTCTCTGACTTACCCCCACATCTCTGACTCACCCTCACCTCTCTGACTCACCCTCACATCTCTGACTCACCCCCACATATCTGACTCACCCTCACATCTCTGACTCATCCTCACCTCTCTGACTCACCTCTCTGACTCACCCTCACATCTCTGACTCACCCTCACATCTCTGACTCACCCCCACATCTCTGACTCACCCCCACATCTCTGACTCACCCTCACATCTCTGACTCACCCCCACCTCTCTGACTCACCCTCACATCTCTGACTCACCCTCACCTCTCTGACTCACCCTCACCTCTCTGACTCACCCTCACATCTCTGACTCACCCTCACCTCTCTGACTCACCCTCACCTCTCTGACTCACCCTCACATCTCTGACTCACCCCCACATCTCTGACTCACCCTCACCTCTCTGACTCACCCTCACCTCTCTGACTCACCCTCACCTCTCTGACTCACCCTCACATCTCTGACTCACCCTCACCTCTCTGACTCACCCTCACATCTCTGACTCACCCCCACCTCTCTGACTCACCCTCACATCTCTGACTCACCCTCACCTCTCTGACTCACCCTCACCTCTCTGACTCACCCTCACCTCTCTGACTCACCCCCACCTCTCTGACTCACCCTCACCTCTCTGACTCACCCCCACATCTCTGACTCATCCTCACCTCTCTGACTCACCTCTCTGACTCACCCTCACATCTCTGACTCACCCCCACATCTCTGACTCACCCTCACGTCTTTGATTCACCCTCACCTCTCTGACTCACCCCCACATCTCTGACTCACCCTCACATCTCTGACTCATCTGGTCCAAGTGCTCTGATGGTATGGTCTCTCTCTGGTCCCTCACCTGGTCCTCCTCTCACTGTCCTTCACTCTCCTCATCTGGTCCAAGTGCTCTGATGGTATGGTCTCTCTCTGGTCCCTCACCTGGTCCTCCTCTCACTGTCCTTCACTCTCCTCATCTGGTCCAAGTGCTCTGATGGTATGGTGTCCAGGTCCTGCAGCAAGTCTCTGAGCTGGTTCTCGATGTGAGACAGTTTGTTGATGGTGCTGAAGCTGGAAGCTTGATGGTCCACACAGTGATGATGGACCATCGAGACCATGTCCCCGAGAGAGACCAGCAACTGGTCCTGAGGAGAAGTTAGAGATCTGTATCTTTAAGGTCCTGAAGTTAGAGATCTGTATCTTTAAGGTCCTGAAGTTAGAGATCTGTATCTTTAAGGTCCTGAAGTTAGAGATCTGTATCTTTAAGGTCCTGAAGTTAGAGATCTGTATCTTTAAGGTCCTGAAGTTAGAGATCTGTATCTTTAAGGTCTGAGAAGTTAGAGATCTGTATCTTTAAGGTCCTGAAGTTAGAGATCTGTATCTTTAAGGTCTGAGAAGTTAGAGATCTGTATCTTTAAGGTCCTGAAGTTATAGATCTGTATCTTTAAGGTCTGAGAAGTTAGAGATCTGTATCTTTAAGGTCCTGAAGTTAGAGATCTGTATCTTTAAGGTCTGAGAAGTTAGAGATCTGTATCTTTAAGGTCCTGAAGTTAGAGATCTGTATCTTTAGAGCTGGGTCTGTAAATCCTTGGTGGAGGGAGTACCAGGTGGAGGGGGTACCAGGTGGATGGGGTACCAAGTGGATTGAGTACCAGGTGAAGGGAGAACCAGGTGGATGGGGTACTAGGTGGAGGGAGCTCCAGCTGGAGGGGGTACAAGTTAGAGGGAGTACCAGGTGGATGGAGGACCAGGTGGAGGGAGTACCAGGTAAAGGGAGAACCAGGTGGAGGGGTACAAGGTAGAGGGAGTACCAGGTGGAGGGGTACCTGGTCCTGGGAGCTCAGAGACAGATGCAGCTGGACCTTCTGTCTTAGTTTGTTTCTTCTGGACTTTTCCATCATGATTCTCTGCTCCATGTGGTGGAGCTCTAGATAGAGCCGCTGCTCCTCTTCCTCACTGGAACACACACATTCACTCAGGTGGGCTATACCAGAGAAAGACCAGAGAGAGAAACCAGAGAGAGACCGGAGAGAGACCAGAGAGAGAGACTAGAGAGAGACCAGAGAGAGACCAGAGAAAGACCAGAGAGAGACCAGAGAGAGAGACTAGAGAGAGACCATAGAGAGACCAGAGAAAGACCAGAGAGAGAGACCAGAGAGAGACCAGAGAGAAACCAGAGAGAGACCGGAGAGAGAGACCGGAGAGAGACCAGAGAGAGAGACTAGAGAGAGACCAGAGAGAGACCAGAGAAAGACCAGAGAGAGACCAGAGAGAGAGACTAGAGAGAGACCATAGAGAGACCAGAGAAAGACCAGAGAGAGACCGGAGAGAGACCAGAGAGAGAGACCAGAGAAAGACCAGAGAGAGACCAGAGAGAGACTAGAGAGAGACCATAGAGAGACCAGAGAAAGACCAGAGAGAGACCAGAGAAAGACCAGAGAGAAAGACTAGAGAGAGACCATAGAAAGACCATAGAGAGACCAGAGAGAGAAACCAGAGAGAGACCAGAGAGAGACCAGAGAAAGACCAGAGAGAAAGACTAGAGAGAGACCAGAGAAAGACCAGAGTGAGAGACTAGAGAGAGACCAGAGAGAAAGACTAGAGAGAGACCATAGAGAGACCAGAGAAAAACCAGAGAAAAACCAGAGAGAGACCAGAGAGACCAGAGAGAGACCAGAGAGAGACCAGAGAGACCAGAGAGAGACCAGAGAGGGACCAGAGAGACCAGGGAGAGAACAGAGAGGGACCAGAGAGACCAGAGAGAGAGACCAGAGAGACCAGAGAGAGACCAGAGAGGGACCAAAGAGAGAACAGAGAGACCAGGGAGAGAACAGAGAGAGACCAGAGAGAGACCAGAGAGAGAGACCAGAGAGACCAGAGAGAGACCAGAGAGAGACTACAGAGACCAGAGAGAGACCAGAGAGAGAGCAGAGAGAGACCAGAGAGACCAGAGAGAGGCCAGAGAGAGACCAGAGAGAGACCAGAGAGAGACCAGAGAGAGACCATTGGATGAAAACGCAGATCCAAGTATTCAAAGTGTGACTGTGAACAGAATTTTGGTCTGGAAATTGGAGGAACTGCTGGTACGATAGATAACTTTATTACAGATTCCAGAACAAAAATAATAGACAAGACACAACACACGAGAAACAGACAACATAAAACACTAAAAGTCCCCAAATCTCTAAAACACAACACATAGTTGTAAAACAGTACAACTATGATTTTGGTGAGAATGAAGCCGAAAAGCAAGACATGTCAATAGAAAATATGAAGTTTATGAAAATGATGGACTTCTCTGCAAAGTCACAAGATGGAAAATACTGTGTGAAATTACCGTTCAAAAATGACAATGTCCATTTGCCAAACAATCTTGCTATGGCCAAACAAAGGATACAAAGCTTGAAGAAAAGATTCATGCATAACCAGGAATATGTGCGTAACCACAGAGAGTATGTAACATACATGAAGAACATAATTGTCCATAAGTATGCAGAGCGTGTTCCTGAAGACCGAGTGAACAAAGACAATGGAAGAGTGTGGTACATTCCCCATCATGGGGTGCATCATCCGAGGAAAGGAGCATTGCGTGGTGTCTGACTGTGGGGCCACGTTCAAAGATTGTGTCTCTGAACACCGAACCACTACAAGGGCCACATCTCACAAGCACACTGCTGGGAGTCCTCGTGAGGTTTCCACAACAGCCAGGAGGCTTCATGGGCATGGGCGCCGTAAAAATGGCGCCGTGGCAAGAGCTCTGGTGTGTGTCGTCTGGCGCACACCGGGGTAGTCTTGCACAGTTTTCCAATGTGGTTTTACTGCAAATGGCAAATAAATGAATCTGAATCTGAATCTGAATCTGAATCTGGGCGACATCCAAGCTATGTTCCATCAAGAGCGCGTGCCAGAAGAGGATCGGGATTTCTTGCGTTTTCTATGGTGGCCAAATGGTGACACATTTTAAGATCCAGAAAACTACAGAATGACTGTACATCTATTCAGCGTTGTCTCGTCACCAAGCTGTGCATCTTATGCATCTTAGAAGAACGGCACAAGAAAACCAATCAGAGTTCTCTGTCATGGCGGTAGAAACAGTCCAACGAGATTTGTATGTAGATGATTGTCTGAAGAGCACAGCCACTGAAATGGAAGCAACTCTATTGATAAATGAGCTGATGGCTCTGTGTGGGAGAGGAGGCTTCATTTTCGACAAGCTTCAGTGGTGCGTGGAAACTGATGCTTTTAAGTTTAACATGGAGATAAAGCATCAAGCACTGACCAGGCGAGAAATGTTTTCTGTCAACAGTTCTGTGTATGACCCTTTGGGATTTTTGGCACCAGTGAGTCTGCAAGAAAAGATGATGCAGATTCAGATTCAGATTCAGTTTATTTGCCATTTGCAGTAAAACAACCACATTGGAATACATTAGCAAAAGTCTCCAGTGTGCACAGACAAATACAGACAATAAAAGACAGAAATAAAACAAATAAAACAGTAAACAAATGTCACTGTGAAATCGATCGACTAAAACAGTTTCAAAACAAGTGCAAATCATTAAAGTGCTCTGTTCACACTGATAACAGCTTGTGGATAAAAACTGTTAGCGTAACGAGATGTCCTGCATCTCAGAGAGCGATATCTTCTGCCAGAGGGAAGAAGCTGGAACATGGCTTTCCCAGGGTGGCCAGAAGAGTCATTAACAATCCTAAGAGCTTTGTTTAAAAGTGTGGATTTATAAAGAACCTCCAGAACAGGAAGCTCACAGCCCACGGTCCTCTTTGCAGAGCGGAGCACCTTGTTTAAAGCTCTCTTTTCTTTATCTGTGATGTTTCCAAACCACACAGACACAGAACCAACAAGTAAACTCTCAATGGTGCAGCCATAAAAGTTAAGCACAATCTTAGAGTTAGTGGTAAATTCTCTAAGTTTACGCAGAAAGTAGAGACGCTGACGAGCTTTCTTAACGACTCGGTCAGTGTTTTTAACCCATTTCAGGTTAGACAGAGTTAAACCCAGAAACTTGCTCCTCTACGATCTGCACCTGGGAGTTGTCGATTACGACAGACAAATGAGAACTATTGCGACTGAAGTCGTAGACCAGTTCACATGTTTTGGATGCGTTCAACTGGAGGTTGTTAGTTTGACTCCACTGAACCACATTTTGTATCTCTGCTCTATAAGAGGATTCATCAGTGTCACTGATGAGACCGATGATGGTGGTGTCATCAGCATATTTGATGATCAAGTTTGAGTCAGAGGAGGACACACAATCGTGAGTGTACAAAGTAAAAAGCAAAGGACTCAAAATACATCCCTGAGGAGAACCAGTGCTCACAGAAACAACATCAGAAAAACACTCATTAATTTTCACTCTCTGAGATCTGTCAGTTAAAAAGATAAAAATCCATTTACACATGGCAACACTTAAACCGAGAGACATGAGCTTTTCAATCAGTTTACCTGGGACAAGGCAGTTAAAAGCAGAGCTATAATCCATGAAAAGCATTCTGGCCACAGATTTCCTATTGTCCAAGTGACTGTAGACAGAGTTCAGAGCAAAGGAGATGCATCCTCCACACTCCTGTTCTGTCTGTAACAAACTGGAGCGGGTCAACACTCACAGGGATCTGGCTCTTAATGAACTCCAGCACAAGCCGCTCAAAAGTTTTCATAAGAACAGACGTGAGGGCCACAGGACGATAGTCATTCAGGCATGTCACAGGAGTTTTCTTAGGAACTGGAATGATGGTGGACTCTTTAAAGCAGTTCGGCACAGTACAGTTCCTTAGCGACAGGTTGAAAATGTCTGTTAGCACAGGGGCAAGTTGCTCAGAGCACAGTTTCAGGACACGAGGAGGGATGCCGTCCGGGCCTGGGGCTTTCCGGACTATGGTCCTGGACAAGACACGCCTGACTTCCTCCTGAGTCACGGTGAAGGTACCTTGATTGAAACACTCAGGGAATACAGTAGGACAGGCATCAGCGGATTCAAAGCGACAGTAGAACGTGTTCAGCTCGTTTGGCAGAGCTTGGTCGACAGATGCAGTTTTCCCAGCACTAGGTTTCCACGATGTGATGGCTTTAATACCGTTCCACATGCGCCGAGGGTCATCTTCCTCAAAATGACTCTTTAACCTGTCCCCTTAACTGCGCTTTGCAGATTTAATAGAACGTTTCAATGAGTAACAGGATAGCTTATAAGCAACTGTATCATTTGATTGAAACGCCAACGCACGCTCATGAAGTTTCAGTTTCACTTCCGCGTTCATCCAAGGGTTTTGACTAAAATGTTCTTTAATGACCTTCTGTGGGACACAGCAGTAAATACAGAAGCGTATGTATCCAGACACAGCGTCACAGAATGCATTAACATCCTCTGACTGAAACACAGACCAGTCAGTGGCATCAAAACAACCTTGTAGCTTCATGCTAGCCTCCTCGGACCAACACTGCACAGTGCGAGAGGTTGGTTTATGTTCCCTGCTCCTCTGAGTATACGAAGGAAGAAGGAGAACAGAGGAGTGGTCAGACTTTCCAAAAGGAGGTCTGAGACTGGACCTGTAAGCTCCCTTCACGTTACTGTAGCAGTGATCCAGAACATGTGCTCACTGAAAACTCACGGGGAAGATAAAAAGGGCAGCAGCTCAAGACCAGGCATTCCAGATTGGCAGTACATGTTTGGTTCACGACTCGAGTGTCCGTGCACCAGCGCTGATTAATTAAAAAGCACACACCTCCGCCTCTGGCCTTGCCCGTGGTCTCCTCACTCTGTCCGCACGGTGAGCGGTGAATCCCGGGGGCTGAACAGCAGAGTCCGGGACGTTCGAGTGGAGCCACGTCTCGCTGAGACAGAACACAGTCCCGGGCCTCGCGCTGGCTCTGGACCCGACACAGGAGCTCGTCCGTCTTGTTGGGCAGAGACTGGACGTTGGCCAGGTAGATGGAGGGCAAAGGGGTCCTGGAGGAGCGGCTACGAACGAGCAGACCGCCTCGCCTTCCCCGGTGTATGCGCCTCCTTCGCCGACTGGAGGTGCCCAGCTCCACACCGCGGAGAGAACGCCGGAGACGCCCAGTCCCCTCGCTCTGTTGGCGGCCCCCGCCGCGGCCCGCCTGCTGTGCTCCACGGGCCTCTTGAGTGGGACACTCGAGGAAGTTAGTGCACCTCAGTTCAGGTAAAACGAGTGACCCGTCACACACAAGGTCCCGAATGTTAAGAAGTGTTTGCCGATCATATTTCACTGTGGCAAGTGAATACCAGACAAAAAACAAAAAAACACAGATTGTGTGCACCAGAGCGTTCACTGCAAGCAGCAAAAGTTGTGCAAAAGAGGCTGGAACTGGGATGATCCCTTGCCTCAGGACATCTGGCAGCGGTGGAAGAAATGGTTGGAGGAGCTAGAACTGTTGGCTACATTTGGAGTGGATCGGTGCATCAAGCCACCAGACTTTTTCAGTTACACCACTTTTCTGATGCCAATGAAGGAGGCTATGGGACTGTCACATATGTTCCATTACAAAACCAGGAACACAACATTCATGTCTCCTTTCTCATTGGCAAGGCCAGAGTAACACCTCTAAAGTCAGTGACCATTCCCTGACTTGAACTGTCTGCATCTGCTTGCTACCAAAATGTAAGCCATGATCAAGACAGAGCAGAGTATGCCCCTTCAAGAAAGTGTATTTTGGGTTAATAGTACGTCCGTGTTGAAGTATGTAAACAACAAAGACCGCCGGTTCCACACATTTGTAGCTAATAGAGAAGCTACCATCCGGCTGGCTATCTTTAGTAAGCCAGCCTTATGACGGACGTATGACAGATGTATGACGGACGTATGACAGATGTATGACGGACGTATGACAGATGTATGACGGACGTATGACAGATGTATGACGGACGTATGACAGATGTATGACGGACGTATGACAGATGTATGACGGACGTATGACAGATGTATGACGGACGTATGACAGATGTATGACGGACGTATGACAGATGTATGACGGACGTATGACAGATGTATGACGGACGTATGACAGATGTATGACGGACGTATGACAGATGTATGACGGACGTATGACAGATGTATGACGGACGTATGACAGATGTATGACGGACCTATGACAGATGTATGACGGACGTATGACGGATGTATGACGGACGTATGACGGATGTATGACGGACGTATGACAGATGTATGACGAACGTATGACAGATGTATGACGGACGTATGACGGATGTATGACGGACGTATGACAGATGTATGACGGACCTATGACAGATGTATGACGGACGTATGACAGATGTATGACGGACGTATGACAGATGTATGACGGACGTATGACGGATGTATGACGGACGTATGACAGATGTATGACGGACGTATGACAGATGTATGACGGACGTATGACAGATGTATGACGGACGTATGACAGATGTATGACGGACGTATGACGGATGTATGACGGACGTATGACGGATGTATGACGGACGTATGACAGATGTATGACGGACGTATGACAGATGTATGACGGACGTATGACAGATGTATGACGGACGTATGACGGATGTATGACGGACGTATGACAGATGTATGACGGACCTATGACAGATGTATGACGGACGTATGACAGATGTATGACGGACGTATGACAGATGTATGACGGACGTATGACAGACGTATGACGGATGTATGACAGATGTATGACGGACGTATGACAGATGTATGACGGACGTATGACAGATGTATGACGGACGTATGACGGATGTATGACGGACGTATGACGGATGTATGACGGACGTATGACAGATGTATGACGGACGTATGACAGATGTATGACGGACGTATGACAGATGTATGACGGACGTATGACAGATGTATGACGGACGTATGACAGATGTATGACGGACGTATGACAGATGTATGACGGACGTATGACGGATGTATGACGGACGTATGACAGATGTATGACGGACGTATGACGGATGTATGACGGACGTATGACGGATGTATGACGGACGTATGACGGATGTATGACGGACGTATGACGGATGTATGACGGACGTATGACGGATGTATGACGGACGTATGACGGATGTATGACGGACGTATGACAGATGTATGACGGACGTATGACAGATGTATGACGGACGTATGACAGATGTATGACGGACGTATGACAGATGTATGACGGACGTATGACAGATGTATGACGGACGTATGACAGATGTATGACGGACGTATGACAGATGTATGACGGGACGTATGACAGATGTATGACGGACGTATGACAGATGTATGACGGACGTATGACAGATGTATGACGGACGTATGACAGATGTATATGACGGACGTATGACAGATGTATGACGGACGTATGACAGATGTATGACGGACGTATGACAGATGTATGACGGACGTATGACGGATGTATGACGGACGTATGACGGATGTATGACGGACGTATGACGGATGTATGACGGACGTATGACGGATGTATGACGGACGTATGACAGATGTATGACGGACGTATGACAGATGTATGACGGACGTATGACAGATGTATGACGGACGTATGACGGACGTATGACGGACGTATGACAGATGTATGACGGACGTATGACGGACGTATGACAGTTCAATTTGGAGAGACGAGAAAACAGGAAGTTTTGAGTATTTTATTGGGAGGAGGTTTGGCGCCCTAGGCCCCGGTGCGGCCTTCAGATCGGAGAGGCTCCTGCGATGGAGCGCGCACAATCCCCCGGGACCTAGGCACTGGTGGCGGCATTTGGCAGCAGGAAGCAGATTGGAGGCAGATTGGAGGCAGGGTGAAGAGGAGGAGGAGGGGAGGCGGTGGTTGCGAGGCTTCAGGAGGCAGAGAGTGGTAGTTTTTCCGTTTTTATGCGGCTGGCGTAGTCGGTACAGATGATTGGAAGGGGGCGTCTGCTGAGCGATAGGCTGAGGATGCGAGCCGGCCTGGAGGGGGTAAATTTGGTTAACGTCTACCAAATTGAACTTTCGCTGGCTGCATTTCAATTTGGAGAGACGAGAAAACAGGAAGTTGAGTATTTTATTGGGAGGAGGTTTGGCGCCCTAGGCCCCGGTGCGGCCTTCAGATCGGAAAGGCTCCTGCGATGGAGCGCGCACAATCCCCAAAAAGGCTGCGTGTTGATGGAGTTTTCGAAGCCTGGTTTGGAGGGGACAGACGTCGTGACTGCTCTATTCTGTGACCGCTATCGCTAGCTGTGACCGCTATCGCTATGCTGTGACCGCTATCGCTATATGCTGTGACCGCTATCGCTAGCTATGCTATTATGCTGTGACCGCTATCGCTATATGCTGTGACCGCTATCGCTATGCTGTGACCGCCAGCGCAATGCTGCTAACCATTTTTTGCTATATGCTGTGACCGCTATCGCTATATGCTGTGACCGCTATCGCTATATGCTGTGACCGCTATCGCTATATGCTGTGACCGCTATCTACTGTGATCAATACTTGCGGATACTCGGCTGCTGGCGGCGCCTATCCGGAAGGAGTGAGCTGCGTAGAGATGGGGAGACAGGTTACAAAGCAGCAGTACGGACTTTAGTTGGGCTCTGAACCCGTTGGATGACATTGGGAGGTGATCGGGGGTGAGAAATAACGGTCCGTTGAGATCTCCTTTCCGAGAGCGGAGGTGAGTGTAATGCATCGTGGGTTATCTTTGCGCGCTGGGAACGTGAACGTTCGCATCACGTTCCGTCAGACGCTGCGGCAGCGGAGAGTGTTTGAGAAGTGCGTGCCGCCACCAGAATCTTATTGCTTCGCTTACTTTGCTTCGTATTGCTTTGCTGGGAGCTTGCGAGGAAGCCAGTAGACGTTGTGCAGCCAGGATGGCGGACGCGTCTGGCCTGATGTAGGCGGAGAAAGCCGAAGAGGACCAGCGCCCCAGCTGTTGGAGAGGTGGGGGAGCCCCAGCTGTTGGAGAGGTGGGGGAGCCCCAGCGAGGCCGCGCGCGTGGCAGCGCCTATCCTGAAGGAGTGGGCTGTATAGAGCTGGGGAGACAAATTGCAGAGGAGCAGTAGGGATCTTAGTTGAGCTCTGAACCAGGTTGCTGTCATGGGAAGGTTGTCTGAGAGAGATGTGTCGGAGCGAGCTATTATTATGTTGCAGGCGCCTTGGTCTTTGAATGTTTGAGATGAAGGTTGAAAGGGTCAGGGGACGTTATGTTGGGTGAAAAAGAGCGACCTTTGTGTAATGCTTCCACTACGTCGAGATTATCGCGCATGACAGGGATCCTCTTTCTCTGCCACGTGTGATTCCACAGCGCGCAGGCCACGACCACTGGGAATATCTCGTGTAGGGCAGAGGAGATGCTCCGGTGGAAGTAGCGGCCACGGCCCGGCAACCCGATGGTCCTGGAAGAACCCCCCAAAACCCACGGAAGGGGCACGTCCGTGTAGAAGCGGAGACCTGTAGGGGCAGAGACATATCGGAGAGGGCCATAGATGTTGCAGGCGCCCTTACGCTTAGAATCTTGGGTCGGAGAGTAGATAATCAGGATAGTAGGATGGTCGGGAAGCCGCGTCTCGGACCGCATGAAGGTTGAGTGAGCAGTAGTGAAACGCTTATGCAGAGAAGCCATAGAAGGCGAGCAGGAAGATGCTGCGAGGAGGGCAGACATGTACTTGGAAGATGAGCCGGAGTTCAGTGCCGCTCAGAGCTGCTGCAGGATGGGCAGCACGATGGGGGAGCCTGCGATCAGAAGAGTGAAGAATACAGGTATGGATGCCTTTGATTAGGAGTCCGATTGACGGCTCAGCGCAGCTACTTGGCCGGCTGCATCTGATAGAATCAGAAGATTTAGGTAGAGAGATGAAGCATGACCGCCGAAGCGACCCTGGGAGCATAGGTGCGAGTCCAGCGCGGCGCGGCATACTCAGCCGGGCTGCATCCATTAGAAACAGGATAAGCTTCTGAGAGAGTGGGTTGCAGCAGTAGCAGTAGCAGCAGCGGCAGCAGCAGTACCTCAGATAATAACAGCGATAACCTGTATCAAGCCGCGGCAGCAGCAGCAGCAGCAGCAGCAGCAGCAGCAGCATCCTTAGAGATTAACAGTAAAAAGCCTGTATCAAGCCACAGCAGTAGAATGTTGTCGTAGCTGATCAGTGTTTCAGTAAAAGAGATGCAAGTGAAGAGAGATGGCAAGTAAATGAAGCAGCAGCAGCAGTAATAGCAGCAGCAGCGGTATGAAGCAGCAGCAGTAGCAGCAGTAGCAGTAGGAGTATGGAGCAGCAGCAGCAGCAGTAGCCGTATGAAGCAGCAGCAGCAGTAGCAGCAGCAGCAGCTGCAGCATCCGTAGATAATAACAGCAATGATCCTGTATCAAAGCCACGGCAGTAGGAGGTTGTTGTAGCTGTTCAGTGTGAGGGATTTAAACAGGTTTTACGGTCCAAGTGATTTACCAGGTTTTACGGTCCAAGTGAGGGATTAACTGAGCCCGCAGTCCAAGTGAGGAGTTTAAACTGAGAGCTTACAGTCCGGTGTGAGGGATCCAACAGAGCCTGCAGTTTTTTATTTTTTTTTATTTATTTATATTTATTTATATTTATTTATTTATATTTATTTATTTATATTTATTTATATTTATTTATATTTATTTATATTTATATTTATTTATATTTATTTATATGCATTTATTTATATGTATTTATTTATTCATTTATTTAGTTTTAATATATAGCGTTCCAGATATAGGCAGTACCATATATGCAGTTCCATATACTGCATAACAGTTCCAGGTATAACAGTACCATATAAGCAGTTCCAATATAGCGGTTCCATATATAAGCAGTTCCATATGAAGCAGTTCCAGATACGGTACAACAGTTCCAGATATAAGCAGTTCCAGATATAAGCATTTCCAGATATTAGCATTTCCAGATATTAGCATTTCCAGATATAAGCATTTCCAGATATAAGCATTTCCAGATATAAGCATTTCCAGATATAAGCATTTCCAGATATAAGCATTTCCAGATATGAGCAGTTCCGTGAGGGATTAACCTGAGAGCTCACAGACCAATGTAAGGGATTCATTTTGGGAGCCGCAGTCCGAGAGGGATCTAAACGGGGCTTGCAGTCCAAGAGAGGGATTTAGGCCCTGTTTATACTGAGACGCTGCGCAGACGTTTCCAGGCTATTAACAGAAACGACCTGGCTCCTAATGCAAATTTCTCAGCGTTCACATGAGGTTGAAAAACGATGTAGTTCTAGCGCCCGGCCAGTAGTGGGCAGAGAAACTTTACAACACGACACACGACCCCCAGCCCCCCTCTCGGCAGTGTACTCACTTCCTGTGCCAGACCCTCAGAGAGTACCAACATCATTCTGCATTTTAACAGCAGCTGTGAAAATGGAAACTGAACTTAGAGCTTCGCGTGGTCTCGTTTGGACGAACGAAGGAGTAGAGTTATCCTCTGTCCCGCGCTGGAAGCCCACGTAGCTAGTTTGTGTGGGCGGCGCCATTATTGTTGATGTTTGTTCTCCGCTACTGCGCATGTCCAAATTTACGTGCGGGGAGCAGCGCGGAGGCGGGGGTCAGAGCAGAGGGGGATTTCACACCTTTTCCCCTCTCGCGGGTGTGAAAAAGCTCCCTGCTGTGCAGCGTTTCTGAGTTGTCCCACTCTGCAGGCTGGATCTGAACACTTACGTTTTCACCTGGAACACTGTCTTCGTATGAACGGTTGGTAGCAACCGACATCCAACTATACCGTTTTACTGCCACATTGTCTCCGTGTAAACTCAGCCTAAAACAGAGCTCGTAGTCCAGAGAGGGATTTAACAGAGCATGCAGTCCAATGTGAGGGATTAAAACAGAGGTCTTGCAGTCCAATGTGAGGGATTAAAACAGAGGTCTTGCAGTCCAATGTGAGGGATTAAAACAGAGGTCTTGCAGTCCAATGTGAGGGATTAAAACAGAGGTCTTGCAGTCCAATGTGAGGGATTAAAACAGAGGTCTTGCAGTCCAATGTGAGGGATTAAAACAGAGGTCTTGCAGTCCAATGTGAGGGATTAAACTGAGGTCTTGCAGTCCCATGTGAGGGATTAAACTGAGGTCTTGCAGTCCAATGTGAGGGATTAAAACAGAGGTCTTGCAGTCCAATGTGAGGGATTAAAACAGAGGTCTTGCAGTCCAATGTGAGGGATTAAAACAGAGGTCTTGCAGTCCAATGTGAGGGATTAAACTGAGGTCTTGCAGTCCAATGTGAGGGATTAAAACTGAGGTCTTGCAGTCCAATGTGAGGGATTAAAACTGAGGTCTTGCAGTCCAATGTGAGGGATTAAAACAGAGGTCTTGCAGTCCAATGTGAGGGATTAAACTGAGGTCTTGCAGTCCAATGTGAGGGATTAAAACTGAGGTCTTGCAGTCCAATGTGAGGGATTAAAACAGAGGTCTTGCAGTCCAATGTGAGGGATTAAAACAGAGGTCTTGCAGTCCAATGTGAGGGATTAAACTGAGGTCTTGCAGTCCAATGTGAGGGATTAAAACTGAGGTCTTGCAGTCCAATGTGAGGGATTAAAACTGAGGTCTTGCAGTCCAATGTGAGGGATTAAAACTGAGGTCTTGCAGTCCAATGTGAGGGATTAAAACTGAGCCTGCAGTACAATGCGAGGGGAATAAACCGTGCGCAGATCTCATACTTACCCACGGCGCCAGAAGACAAGGGACAACACAACGGGACCACGCCGTATCGGCACGAGGAGGCAGGGATGCGCACGGCTCCCACCGCACCGGGCCAGACCGGCCGTATGCGGCAGCAGGCTGCGACGAGACGAGCAGCGGCAAACCCGCGGAAAGAGCCCGCAAAGGAGAGAGCGGCAAGACCCACGGACCACAGCACGAGACCCGCGGCAGGTGCAGCCACAGGAGAAGCAGACCACAACGCAGCAAGACGGAGGACACCAGGAGCAGGTGCAGCCACAGGAGAAGCAGACCACACGCAGCAAGACAGAGGACACCAGGAGCAGGTGCAGCCACAGGAGGAGCAGACCACAACGCAGCAAGACGGAGGACACCAGGAGCAGGTGCAGCCACAGGAGGAGCAGACCACACGCAGCAAGACGGAGGACACCAGGAGCAGGTGCAGCCACAGGAGGAGCAGACCACAACGCAGCAAGACAGAGGACAGCAGGAGCAGGTGCAGCCACAGGAGGAGCAGACCACAACGCAGCAAGACAGAGGACAGCAGGAGCAGGTGCAGCCACAGGAGGAGCAGACCACAACGCAGCAAGACGGAGGACACCAGGAGCAGGTGCAGCCACAGGAGGAGCAGACCACACGCAGCAAGACGGAGGACACCAGGAGCAGGTGCAGCCACAGGAGGAGCAGACCACAACGCAGCAAGACGGAGGACACCAGGAGCAGGTGCAGCCACAGGAGGAGCAGACCACACGCAGCAAGACGGAGGACACCAGGAGCAGGTGCAGCCACAGGAGGAGCAGACCACACGCAGCAAGACGGAGGACACCAGGAGCAGGTGCAGCCACAGGAGGAGCAGACCACACGCAGCAAGACGGAGGACACCAGGAGCAGGTGCAGCCACAGGAGGAGCAGACCACACGCAGCAAGACGGAGGACACCAGGAGCTGGTGCAGCCACAGGAGAAGCAGACCACACGCAGCAAGACGGAGGACACCAGGAGCAGGTGCAGCCACAGGAGGAGCAGACCACACGCAGCAAGACGGAGGACACCAGGAGCAGGTGCAGCCACAGGAGGAGCAGACCACAACGCAGCAAGACGGAGGACACCAGGAGCAGGTGCAGCCACAGGAGAAGCAGACCACAACGCAGCAAGACAGAGGACACCAGGAGCAGGTGCAGCCACAGGAGGAGCAGACCACAACGCAGCAAGACAGAGGACAGCAGGAGCAGGTGCAGCCACAGGAGGAGCAGACCACGCGCAGCAAGACGGAGGACACCAGGAGCAGGTGCAGCCACAGGAGGAGCAGACCACACGCAGCAAGACGGAGGACACCAGGGACACGCACGAGTAACGTGAGTAGACAAAGCGATTCCTCCAGAACGATTCTTTGCGAGGCTTCAGGAGCTGCGAGGCTTCAGGAGGCAGAGAGTGGTAGTTTTTCCGTTTTTATGCGGCTGGCGTAGTCGGTACAGATGATTGGAAGGGGGCGTCTGCTGAGCGATAGGCTGGGGATGAGAGCCGCCTGGAGGGGGTAAATTTGGTTAACGTCTACCAAATTGAACTTTCGCTGGCTGCATTACAGTCATTTTCTAAAACTATTATGAATGAATTTGTCAGAAGTCAAAGTTAAACTCTGACATAGGTCCAGGGCAACAGCAGATATATTTAAAACATCTGAACAAAACACTAAACTCACTTACTCTAATCATAAGACCAACCAAGTATGTGATCATCATCTATTTACAGGGCACATGTGGACACCGGAGCACCTGGAGGAAACCCAGGCAGACACAGGAAGAACATGCAAACTCAACACCAGGACACACCTTCATGTTGTACTTTTCTGAAACGGTTTGTTCAGTTTCACGTCTTGTTTTTACGACACAATGATGTGATCACGACACTGCAGTGGGACAGACACACACAACTGTGTCCATTATTCACATTTTAATATTTTACTGACAAACCTTAGAACACACAACTATTTACACTTGTTCAGAATCACAACAACACAAATGACTGTTGGTTCAATATAGAACATCACTAAATGTTTACAATTATGTCACGCATTTGTAACCCGTAAATTATAGATCCATGTGTGTAACAGAATAATATTATAGATCCATGTGTGTAACAGAATAATATTATAGATCCATGTGTGTAACAGAATAATATTATAGATCCATGTGTGTAACAGAATAATATTATAGATCCATGTGTGTAACAGAATAATATTATAGATCCATGTGTGTAACAGAATAATATTATAGATCCATGTGTGTAACAGAATAATATTATAGATCCATGTGTGTAACAGAATAATATTATAGATCCATGCGTGTAACAGAATAATATTATAGATCCATGTGTGTAACAGAATAATATTATAGATCCATGTGTGTAACAGAATAATATTATAGATCCATGTGTGTGACAGAATAATATTATAGATCCATGTGTGTGACAGAATAATATTATAGATCCATGTGTGTGACAGAATAATATTATAGATCCATGTGTGTGACAGAATAATATTATAGATCCATGTGTGTAACAGAATAATATTATAGATCCATGTGTGTGACAGAATAATATTATAGATCCATGTGTGTGACAGAATAATATTATAGATCCATGTGTGTAACAGAATAATATTATAGATCCATGTGTGTGACAGAATAATATTATAGATCCATGTGTGTGACAGAATAATATTATAGATCCATGTGTGTAACAGAATAATATTATAGATCCATGTGTAACAGGATAATATTATAGATCCATGTGTCATAATTTTGACAGCCCTAATTATATATAATATATATAATATGTATGGTACGTGTGGTATATATGATATATAATATATAACTAGGTTTGCCTGGATCGGTTTGGCACACCTGGTGTGCAATCCATGAATCTCTTTATTCAAGGCTAGGTTTAAAACAGTCCTCTTTAGTTTAGCATATGGCTAGGAAGGTAAGACTCAGGGAAGGCTAAACTCCTCAGACTGTCTGTACTCTGCAGGTTCCACTTGTTGCCGATGGCTTACTCGCGTTACTTTAAAAAAGAGAAAAAACTCCCACGGGACTCCATGTAAAAATTAACAAACGTTTATTCCACACTCTTGTACACGAAATTACTTTGCTGAGTTGTCTCTTAATAAAATAATTGCGGTAAGAAACCCGTTTGGCTCCTTATCTCCTGAGCTGCCAAAGTTACATGCCTCTCTCTAATTACGCTCGCTCTCTTCTCGCTCGCTCCTCTGTAAACAAACCAAAACCTATCTCTCTTAAAGCGATGGTAACGTAAATGTTATATGTAAAACAAAAATAACCTACTTCAACAAGGGTATTTACAAACATAAAATGTAGTTCCTAAATTAACATAAAATACTAATTAAGCAGGGGGGCGACAGTAGCTCAGTTGGTAGAGCATTGCCCTTCAGGCCTGAAGGTCGTGGGTTCAATTCCCACCTCTACACCTTCTCCACCGACTCCCACTGATGACTGCTGTCGTTGTGTCCTTGGGCAAGACACTTAACCCCACTTTGCCCAAAGCCCCCACTGAAAGATCAAGGCTATGCTCACAGTCAGAGAGCAGCCGTCCTCCTGTGGACTCACCACCTGCAGAGGATCAGTGAGGGGCTGGTGCTATGAGACTTGGGTGGCATCTCTGACTGCCACCCCCCTGACCCAGAAATGGATTAAAGGGTAGAAAATGGATGGATGGATGGATACTAATTAAGCAAATAAATACGTTATTACTAGTTTATAACAAAATAAACAATCAAATTAGTCACAATCTAATATACTATGCAACATGCAAATATCTAACTAACAAAGCTTAACTTGGCTCCCACATACCGGCCCCTAATTGTGACTCTACTACACAATTACCAAACACAATGTAAACGTGTGGAGCCAACATCTTCTTAAAGTCTTTATTGTCTTTTATGATTGTCTCAGTTCGCTTCTTGTAAGAGACAAATCTTCGTAATGGGTCTGTCCAATGTACTTGTCTTAGTTTTGACTCTCACTTGTCGTACCATCCCAGCTTTGTCCGGGGTTGTCTGGACCACTTTTCCCGTAATCCAAGAGTTGCGTGGCGAAGAGTCGTCGATGATAAGTACGATGTCTCCTGTTGTGAAGTTGCGAGATGGACGAATCCACTTGCGGCGCTCCTGTAATAGGGGTCTCCTCCTGGCGTAGAGATCATGTTTATCGAATAGACCAGGGGGCAGTGAAGGTTTGGTCTTCAGAAGTAAAAGGTGGTTTGGTGTAAGGACCTCCAGGTCATTTGGGTCACTGGATGCCTTTGTTATTGGTCGACTGTTGATGATGGCCTCTGCCTCGCATAGAAAGGTGTGCAGGCCTTCTTCATCCAATGTTTGAAGCTTCACAGTGGCATTTAGAATTTGCCTTATGGACTTGATTAAACGCTCCCAAACGCCTCCATGGTGGGATCCGGTGGGAGGGTTGAACATCCATTGAATGCCGTGTTGTTGTAACGATTCTTCGATCTTCGAAATGTTCCATTCCTCCAAAGCTTTTTTGAGTTCCCGCACAGCACCAATGAAATTAGTTCCGTTGTCCGAGCGGAGAATCTTTACTTGGCCTCTTCTGGCTATGAAGCGACGAAGAGCATGAATAAACGAATCTGTATCCAATGAAGATGCAATTTCTAAGTGTACTGCACGAACTGTGAGACAGGTGAATATGACGCCGTATCTTTTCACCATACTTCGGCCACGCTTTACCTCAAATGGACCGAAGTAGTCCACCCCTGTGTTGGTAAACGGGGGGTCATCTGGCAGGACTCTGTCTCGAGGAAGGTCAGCCATTTGTTCTTGTCCTGCAACTCCATGAATGCGTCGGCAAATAATGCACTTAGAAATAATCTTCCTTATTACAGCGTTGGCACCTGGAATCCAATACTTTGTTCTCAACTTGGAGAGTACATGGTTACGACCGCAGTGAGCCATGTTCTCGTGTATTTCTCTGATGATGAGCTTTGTGATGTGAAGATCTTTGTTCAAGATGCTTTGCCTCTTCAGGTAATGCTGCTCTACTGAGCCGTCCTCCAACTCTTAGAATGCCACGTTCGAGTAACGGATTCAACTTGAATATACTGCTGCTTCTTTTCACGCATTGGTCATTTTTAACTGCCTTAAGTTCTGTGGAAAATGTTTTAGCTTGGCAGTAGCGAACAATCTCTTCTTCGGCTATTGTGAGGTCGTCCATGGTTAGCTTGGTCATGTCTTTGGCTTGAAGTATGTTTTTCTTGTAATTGTCCATTTCCTTTTCGACTTCAACTTGAGCTTTTGTTCCATTCAACTCATTTCTTTTGCGACTTAGCGTCAGCAGAATACTCTTGATTTTTAGCATCCATGCAACTGCTTGCTTTCTTCAGACGAAACCACGATGTGAAGTATTGAAGCAACTCCAATATTGCGTCCTTTTGTTCTTCCACCTTATTTGCACATACCAGGGTACTCTTTACCTCTGGGTCTTCTGTGGTTAAGTCTTCAAAGTATTGCATGTTCTCTGGCCATTCTTCCATGGGCGTACAGAGTAAATCCGGCCCCTGTAACCAGACATGGCTCTGAACAAAGTTCTCAGTCTTTAGTCCCCTGGATGCAAAGTCTGCAGGGTTCTGTGAGGTATTGACGTATCTCCACTGGTTTCGATGGGAAGAATTCAAGATGGCATCCACGCGGTTAGCAACAAAAGTGCGGAACCTACTTGATGTGTTGCGAATGTATTTTAACACGGTAGTACTGTCGGACCAAAACACTGATGGTTGAAGCGGGAGATGCATCTCAGATCTTAAAACTTCGTCCATCCGAGCCGCCATTGTAGCTGCCGTTAGTTCCATGCGCGGGATCGTCATGGGTTTCAGTGGGGCCACTCTTGCTTTCCCCAGAACGAATGAACAATGTACTTGATTGTTGCCGTTTCTTTGTAGCAGATAGCTTACAGTCCCGTATCCTTCTTCACTTGCGTCGGCGAAGTGGTGCAATTGATTGAATGTTGACTCGCCAAAGCCCACAGGTTTGAAACATCTTGGGACACTGATGTTCTCTAGTTCTTGAAGCTGGTTCTTCCACACAAACCACTTACGTGCAAGATCTTCTGGTATAACAACGTCCCAGCCAATCTTCCGCCTGCATAGCTCTTGCAGGATCTTTTTAGCTTGAAGGGTAATCGGCGCCAGGATACCCAACGGATCGTAAACGGAACTTACAAGGGACAAGATGTTTCGTCTTGTGGGAGTTTTGTCTGACAG